AAGTGTACCCGCTTTATTAACCTTTACGCTCTCTCGTTCCGGCGACTTTGTCGCCTGGAAATCACCTTGACAGACAGGAAACGAAGCACTACGCTTGTCTACTTTTTTTTCATTTTTCTCTTTTTTTTTCGTAGGGAGAGACTCGAGTGTGAGCGTCTCGTCATCTCGGAAACTTCTTCGTTATCGCGTGGGACTGCGCTATCTCGAGCTCGTCGTGAACAAAAGATTTTCTGGAAAATTGATAATCGCGCCGTCTATTCGAAAAACATACACACACGTGCGTGCATACAATCATCTCGCTTGGATATCGGTTGCCAAACATCATATTTGACAATGAGTCCAAAAAACTGTGCCCGATACCCCATTGAAAACAAGCTACGTGTGTACTGCCGTCGAGCTTTAGGCGCTAGACTAACGACGTCACACCCTTGACACGATTGTTTTCGGAAAAATGATTGAACTTTCAGTCGTGCACGACGAGACGCGAGTCAAATACGTGCTTGTCACGCGACGAACTCGCACAGTTTTAGTTGGAAAAGCCTTTGCGAAACGTATTCTTTGTCCTCATTGCCAATGAACTCGCGATCGTTACGAAGCATAGTAATATGAAAAACTGACGCAAAACAAGAGCGTACGCGCTTTCTGCAATTTCCAACGTTCCGCCTTATTTATAGCATCGATGCTTCGAGCAACTCAACGTGCCTTCCATCTGACAATTTCTCGCTCAACAAACTCACTCTTTGTTTTCTGCTCCCCTCGGAACTTTTACATTTCGACGCATACGTCGCGCGCGTTCCCACACACCGATCAAACGCGTTCGCTTCGCTCGCCAGATATTATTGCGACGACTCGAGCGTGCGCGTGCGAAACGAACGAGATATGTAATTGGCCGATGGAGCTCGGGAAGGCCTTTCCCGAAGGAAAGAGAGCGAAGCAGGCGAGAAAACGAGGTGCGCATCCCCGCTCGATCACCGCGAGCCAATGAATATTTATACGGCGCTCGACGGCCTGCGGCTTGGTCGTGTGCGAGCGCGTAACAATCGAACGGCCCGGCGCTCTCGTGTAGCCGACGGAGCCCGCGCGAGGGCACGCGAGATAAGAAAGTTACACGGCATAATTGGTGCGTCGGTGCGTGACACGAACGCCCGTGGAATTTCCGAGTCGAGCATAATTTTTTTCCCCGCGCCTCAGCCGGAGACGGAGCGCAGGGCCTCACTCTCTCTCTCTCTCTCTCTCTCTCTCTGCCGCTCGTATGACAAAGCCCGCCTTATCTTATCTGTCTCGCCGCTATCGGGCTCGCGCGCGTCGGCGACGCGAAAACTCATCGGCGTCTGTTTGGACAATTGGCGCTGGCTAGAGCCAAAATATTGAAAAGCACGAGCGCCAGCCAAGCTGCAAGGCGGCGCGTCGCGGGCGGCAGCGCGGAAGCCGCGCCGGTGCGTGCGCGGCAACAGTCGCGTGTTTGATTTAGCCCGAGCCAGCTCGTGGCCAAATATTTATTTGTTTGTACGGCAATGCGTATAGGTTTGTATTAATCTGCGCTCGCTGCAGCCGCCGCGGCGCGCGCGAGCAATCGACGATCGACCGATAAAAGGTTCCCGACCCGCGCGCTCCCCGCGCGAAACCGGCCGGCGCATCGATCGGACGTGCCGCGATCGCGCGACCCACATCGACGACGCGTAGCCCCGCGAGTCGCTTTGTCCGCGAGATCGCGGCCGCCGCCGGCGTGGACCGCGCGCGCGCTCGTTCCTCCGGGCCGCACCGAGGAATCGAGTGCGCGCGCAGCTCTGTTTGCCGCGGGCAAACAGCGCGCACGGCCTTACCTGCGCGAGCGCGGCCCGCGCTCAAAGGCCGATGGAAATTAAGGAAGATGTTTGAGCCGCGAGTCCGTTTTTCTGGGAAAACGAACAGTCAATTAAGCGGCGCTGTCGAAAGACGGAAAAAGGGAGTGTCGCCCACGCGGCTCGTCTTTCACGCGAGCCACCAGCGCTCCTTCCTTTTCTCTCTCGAGCTCAGGTGCGTCAAAATATTTGACTTTTCGTTAAAGCTTTTTCTCCTTTCGGGAAGCTCGCTCCTCTCCGAAGAGGCTTTCCGCGTCGGCCGAAACGCGCGCCAGTACAAACCAAGTGGGTCAATAAAGCGCAGCGCCGCTTCCTTCTTTCCTCGTCTCTTTCTCTCGCCGCTTATGCATTGTGCTTGGAGCGCTGGAGTGTGGGAAGGGCGGCAGCCGTGCGTGAGATCGCGCTCGGAGCACCGGCCGCTCCGGAGGAGGCCTCCTCGCGACGCCGCCGCCGCCGCCGCCGCCGCCGCCGCCGCCGCCGCCGCCGCCGCCGCCGCCGCGGCAGCTGGGAGGCTTGCGCAAGCTCTCGCTCACGATAAACGCGCGCTGCTCTCGTTATAAATAACGACGAGGGTCGCTCAAATTTATCGCCGGCGCGCTATCCTCGCTGGCTGTTTGCGCAGGCCGATAGCGGCGGCGCGTACCTGGCGCCCGCTCCCACAAAACTTGTCCTATCGGGCCTCGGCGCAGCTGCGCGCGTTCGTGCAGGCGCGACTCGCTCGCGGCGGCGACTCTTTCTCGTCGCAACGCGTCGCACCTGTTGACCGGCGACGGCGGCCATACGCGCACACGGCGTCGCTCATCCCCCGCGTTTTCGCTGTTCCGCGCGAGCGGCGGCGGCGGCGGCGGCGGCGGCGGCAGCAGCAGCATGATGGCGTCCCGCGGAGAGAGAGACGGAGAGGACGCGACCGAGTCGATATCTCGGGCGGGCGGGCTCGGCCAGCCAACCAGCGCGCGCGCTGATACGAGCGCCCCGCGCACCGGCTCGTAGCGATGGCAACCGGCGGCCGAGAGCTTCCCAGCTTGCGAGCCGCTTGAATATGCAGGGGCCCGAACGACCCGGGCCTGCGTCCTCCTCGGCGGCGGCGCTCGTCGTCCGAAGACGAGCCGACCCGCTCGCACTTGTCGCCGACGATCCGGAGCTGCCTGCGCGCGCGCCCACGCGGCCAGCGAGTCAAACAGCCTTGTTTCAATATTTGCAAATCTTTTCCCGTTGCCATCGACACAATGCGCGAGCAATTATTCGCAGTGGCTTAATTGCGAAGAGAGCTTTCGACTCGAGTATTATTATATATTTCCCGAGCAAACATTACAATTACGAATGTCGCTAGCCGAGCCGACAAAAGGAGCGTTAATGAAATTAATGTTTGATCGTCGAAATACACTTTTAATTACTAGCCCGAGCGGCAAAAGTCAGGTGTGTTCGCGCGCAAGGGAGGTGGGTAGTAGATTGTGTTGCTTTTTTTCCGACGTCAATTAGTATCGAGCGTAGAATTGGTCAATTTTTAATCATCGCATTTGCATGCTTATCGTGTACTTTCAATTAACACGCGAGAAGAGGTTGCGCCAACGCTCGGCGGCTTATCGCCGTTGCCGCGCGACCGCGTTTTTCTGCCGTTTTAATTTTAGACGCGCACGTACAGCTTGAATTTTCGAATAATACCAGCTGCTCGGCAAACATTGAGCAATATTTCGGATTGCCGACGTCTTCTTATTTTCCCCCGGTCGCGCTCGCTCGACTTATATATACTTACTGTTTGTGCGCGAGTTCTGATCCAATTGTCGATTGTTCCGTGCCCCGGCAAAGGAATTACATCTTTTTTTTTTTGTTCGTCAAATTGAATTTGCATGTTCGAACGACGGGGAGAAAAAGAGAAAAATAATCAGTCAAAGCGGCATATTCCATAGCTCGCGTTCGAAAGAAGACAGGAGAAGAAGCAGCCAAGGAGTTCCCGAGCAGCAGAAATTATTGAAATGAACAGTCAATAAAAGGTGGCATAGAGAGAGAGAGAGAGAGAGAGAGAGAGAGAGAGAGAGAGAGAACTCGAAAGGCAGCAAGGAGAGAAAAAATCTATCTCCGTCCGAGTGTTTGCTTTTCTCTTGGCTAAGTTCAAGTAAAAACGAGGAGGCATTGAAGGCTCGGGACGTGCGCCATTAGCTGAAACGTCACGAGAACAAAGGAATGTTAATGTGTGCAGATGTGTCTTGGGAGAGAAATATCAGGTATATACGTATATACAGGATGACAGGCTAAGGGAGATGGGTTATGGCAAAGTGACGAAATCCCATTTGATATTCATTAATGCACGTGTCTTTTTTTGTTGCGTAGAAATACGATCGTTTATTGAAACATGTACATTATCGAGAGGGCGTACAATCTTGGTCGCACGCCTCGTCTGCGTCGTTCGTTCTCGTGGTCTCTCCGCTCGAGTTTGTCGAGATGGTATTACACGCAGAGCACGAACAGAGAATCGCTGGATCTCGGCGTCATAAAACTGAACATTTTACAATCTATATAAAGATAAGGTGTCTGCTTATGTGTGTATGCGTGTGTGTGTGGGTGTGCGCGCGTGCTATGTGTATGTGTATGTGTATGGGTGTGTGCGCAATGTACAATTGAACCTGTGTCGCAGTCGTCGTCGCTTCTCTCGTCGTCTTTGAGATTTCAAGATATTACAATGTTACAATGACAAGAGGCGATAAAGAAAACGAAAGAAAGAGAGGAAACAAAGGGCAATCGCATGATAATAATTATACACAATAAAGTCGAGTACGCGGATACAAGCCAGACGTGAATTTCTATGTACAAATGCGGTGCTCGGCGCGCCGACGCTCGTCGCGAACAGAGTCCGTGTGCATGTCACTCGCGACGCTCGCCCCCGCACAAATATCGGCGCACTCATAGCTAAGCTATCTAAACTCGTAACGGTCCTGGCGGACAATTTACAGCGAGCGGTGCGCGCAGTGCGCCGGCGAACGACCGCTATCTACAAAAGGTGGCTCTGTACAGGCGCGCCGGCGGCACTCAGTCCTTGCGCGGGTTATCACAATAGGCGGGCAGCTTGCGCTCGAAGGCCGGGCGCTGGCAGTAGGCGGCCTCGTCGTCGGTCAGCTCGTCGAGGTCGTCGGGCCAGGCGTGCGGCGGCGGTGGCGGCGGCGGCGGCGGCGCGGCCCGCAGCTGCTGCGCCGCGGCGCCGCCCGCCTGGCCCGAGGCGGCGGCCGCCGCCGCCGCGGCCACGGCTCAGGCCAGCGCGTAGGGGTGCGCGGCGTGGTGTCACAAGTTGGGCGCCGCCGAGACCGCGGGCGCGCCACCGCCCGCCGCCGCCGCCGCCGCCGCCGCCGCCGCGTGGTGGTGGTGGTGGTAGAGCGGCGCCTGGTAGTAGTCCTGGTGGTGGCCCGCCGCGGCGGCCATCTGGTGCGCGCCGCCCGCGGCCGCGTGCATGCCGTTGTGCTGCTGGTGGTGCGGCGAGTAGGCCGCGTAGCCCTGGTGCAGCTCGTACATCTTGAGCTCGGGCGGCTTGCTGTCGGGCGGCTGGCCCGGCGAGGCGGCCGCCGTGGCGCCCGGCAGCAGCCTGGTGATGCTGAACGGGTGGCTGGCCGGCGCGTAGGAGGGCTCCTGCTTGAGGCCGCCGGGCATGCCCGCGTGCAGCGGCTCGGCCAGCAGGTGCGGGTGCAGGCCGCGGCCGACCATGGCCGCGAGTTCGTCGTGCGCCGAGCCCAGCTCCGCGCCCAGCAGGCCGCCCAGGTCCTGCTGCTGCTGCTGCTGCTGGTGGTGCTGCTGGTGGTGGTGGTGCTGCGGCTGCTGGTGCTGCGCGTGGTGCTGCTGCTGCTGCTGCTGCTGCTGCTGGTGCGCCGCGGCCGCGGCCGCTGCCACCGCGTGCTGCTGCGGCGAGGTGAGCAGCGCGTGGTGCAGCTCCTTGTCGTCGGGCGGCGCGTGCTGCGCCAGCGGCGCCTGGTGCTTCTTGGCGTCGGGGCTCGCGTGGCCCTGCACCGCGCCCGGCGCGTGGTGGTGCTGCAGCTTGTTGCTCTGGCGCGTCATCTCCTTCTTCTCGTCCTTGAAGCGCTTCTGGCGGCGCAGGTAGCAGCCGTTCTCGAACATGTTGCCGCTGTCGGGGTGCAGCGTCCAGAAGCTGCCCTTGCCCGGCTTGTCGGGCGTGCGCGGCACCTTCACGAAGCAGTCGTTGAAGCTGAGCGAGTGCCGGATGGAGTTCTGCCAGCGCTGCTGGTTCTGCCGATAGAACGGGAACAGGTCCATGATGAACTGGTAGATCTCGCTGAGCGTCAGCATCTTGGTCTGCGCGTTCTGGATGGCCATGGTGATGAGGCTGATGTAGGAGTAGGGTGGCTTGGCGTGCGTGTAGCTGCGCCGGTAGGACTTGTCCTGTCGCGCGCGCTGCAGCGCCGAGTTGGGCGAGTCGGGCTCGGCCAGGGCGAGCGGGTCGCCGCGCGCGCCCACCGCACCGCCCGCCTGCGGCCCGCTGCCCAACGGCCCGTAGCTCGGCAGACCGCTCATGCAGGAGGCGGGCGCGCCGGCCATGCTGGCCCCGTAGCCGGCCATGGGCCCGCTCGCGCCCATCGAGGCCATGCCGATCGCCGAGGACATGTTGAAGGCCGCGGCCGACGGCGACTGCGGACTGCAATTCATCGACATACCCATCGACACGCACCCGGCCATACTGTTGATGCTGCTGTAGCTGGGGGGCATGCCGCCCATGGGGTTGCTCATCGCGGCCGCGGACACGCCGCCCGCGTCGCCGTACAGCTTCTGCGACTGCAGCATGGTCATCCCGGCGCGCGCTTCACGGCTGCGGCGGCGGCGGCTGCTGCGCGCCGCCCGACCGGGGCTCCTCGCCGCGGCGACGGCTGCGCCTCACTGCGCCGTGCCGCGTCCTCGGCAAGCACTGCAACACCCCAACCACACACGACTCGCGCACTGTGCTGCTGCTGCTGCTGCTGCTGCTGCTGCTGCGACGCGCACCGTACCCGCGGCTCTGACTGGCGGCGTGCGCTGCGTGTGCACGGTAGGTCGCGCGCGCGACGTCGTCGTCGTCGGCGTCGTCGTCGTCGTCGTCGTCGTCGTCGTCGTATCCGTCGTCGTCGTCGGCGGCGGCGACGGCGTTCACTCTGCACGGAGGCCGGCTGCCGAGTGTACTCGGGCGCTCGCGAGCCGGCGAGTCTTGTTCAAACAGCCCCCTCCAGCGGCGACACGCCCACCGCGAGCGCGGCGCCTCGGACGGCCAATCGCGCCGCGGGACGGCGCGGCCCGCCGACCTATCGGCCCGGCCGGCGGCGCCCGCCGAGGGGCGTCGCCGAGCTCTCGTGCGCGCGCGCGCGCGAGCGCGCGCCCGCCGGCCCGAGCGCAGCTTCCCGACCGAGAAACGGCGAGATAGTGACCCTGACGAGAGGGAGACGCGTTTTGCAGCGCTCGCGAATAAAAAGGACAGAGGCGAGGAAGAGATTTGGTGCTCGGCCTGGGGAGGGAGGTATTAAGGCACCTGCTCTCTCGCTCTTTATCGAGCAACGAATTGTTTGCCGCATGAAAATATTGTCCTTGTAAACAGCACTACTCGCGCTCCCTCTCTCTTTCCGCGTTACAATAACGAATCGTCGCGGCGAGTGTTGTTTCTTCCTATCGAAATTGCATTCGAGCACTTTATTAGGCTGGCGGCTCGATATCCAGCGCACGAGGCGCCGAGACAGTCAGATCTTATCGAGCCTCTCCTTTTCCCGATGTCTTTTTATCAATCGATCGCTGACGCGTGTTGCGCGCGCGGTGTCGTTGGTGTCGTTGCTCGCTTAACTCTTGCACAAATATTGTATCTACATCAACTGATTGAACGTCGATCGCTACCACTCTTTTCTTTCGCGAATTTCCGCGCGCGGATGAATACGACGCGCCGTGTAAACGCGCGTGCACGCGCTTTTTTTCCTTTTCTCTTTGTCTCTTTTTATTCGTCAATCCCGCTCGACGACGATTATCAATAAATAACGTCGCGTGCGCGCGGTTATTCATTGATTAAAGCTCGCCGCGGCGAAATAAGCAGGGCGCGCGCGCTTGTAACTTTTGAAGCGCGAGTTTAATGAAAACGCGCGCGCTGTTGACTTTGTCAACAGGTACACGCAGCCCGCGACTGTTGTCGCGTAAAAAACTATTTGCCCGTCTTTCTCGCTCGCAGTTGACTTTTCATTCATAAAAATCGGGCGCGCCGCGCGGCCCGCCAATATAATCGCCGCTCTGGCACTTTATTCGAGCGCTTTTACCTTTAATGCGCACGGCGCGACGGCTGCCTTTGGCCGTCGGACGACTGCACGCAGTCGCGCGCTAATATCCCGAGCTTCGCCTGGGGCTTGCGGCGCGCCAGGCTCACTGCGCGATCAGGCGTCGCGGAGCCAGGGATGGACGGGGCAAGTATCGAGGGGAACGGCGTCGGCGACGTTTCGCGGAGAGTGCTGCCGCACCGGGGCACCGAAGCAGCAGTGGAGAGGCCAGACGATCGGCCAAAGAATTGAGCGACGTTCGTCCTCGCGGCACAGCCGGCGCGTCGCGGTGCGCAAGGCTCAGCGTTGGCGCTTTGCGCGGGGGAGAGAGCAGGCGGCTATATAGCTCTCCAGACTATGCTAATTCGCTGCCAATTCCGAATGTAAATAGGTCGATCGTCAGTCACGTAATCCGCGCCTGAATAATTGAAAGTCGGCGCGCGCGCATCGTAGAACACAAGGATGGCGCGCAGGGAAAAAAGGGTACACGTATGTACACTGGCGGGTAATTCGATAGCAGAAGGCACTTATTATCTGGCAGGGGAGGCGCGATTAGGTTATCGGCGACGTGGGTGGCGCTATTTGACTTGAGGGCGCGCGCGCGCTCGGCTCGATAAAAGTGTTTTGTCATTTTTATAAGAGCTCGTGCGCGCCGCGCCTAAACCTTTGCTCTTGTGTCTCTCGCCTTCGCGCGCGCTACGTGCGTGAGTGTGTTGTGTTTTCCCGTATACCTGTCCGCTCTCGGGAAAGTCTCTGTCTGGGTGGTCGGCCACGGCCGAGTCTGCCCGGTGGAATACCGTGGACGGACGCTCGGGCAGCGATACACCGCCGACGCATCCGACGCTCGGCCGTCCGTACGCGCGCAGGTAGTCGGGGATCCGCCGCTCGTAAAGCCGTTGGGAGGCTCGTTTGCAAATCGGCCGAGGTCACCGCGTAGCGTGAAATCTCGAGCGATCCGACCGAGCATAACGAGCGTCGTAACCCTCTCCGTGGTTACGACCCGATGCCAATCTCTCTCTCTCTTTCTCTCGGCCGTGCGACCGAAGAAAAAATAGTGCCGGTTCAATATCGAAGGGTCGGGCCGAGCATCGGGTCACGTGTCGCGCGTGCCTGCCCGCGCTTTTCCCAGATTTAACGCAGCCGCTATCTCCGCGAAAACATGGCCACTCGCCGAGCCAGCGCGCAGAAATAATACTCTCTCACCCTTCGCTAAGATAATAAAAAAACAGACGTTCCCTCCTCCACCGACTAGCATATTATTGCCGGATTAGATTTATTCTCTCAGGACGTTGCCACCGCTGCAGCGCCGATAATTGCCGACAAACAACGGCGCACCGATAAAGTTCCGCGCGAGATTGTCTCGCGGAAATTTTTCCGAGCGCAATCTCTCTCGCTCGCTCGCTCTCTCTCAGTTGCACAAAGGACGATCTATTTTTCGCTTTATCTTGCGCGCGCGCATGCATGACAACGCGTCTCTCTCTCTCTCTCTCTCTATTCTCGCGCGTCTCGAAAAATAGCATTTCATCGAATCAGAGGGACAGCGCGAAAAAATACTCTCTATTTTTATTTCCATGTTGTTTGCCCCGTATTTGCCCGCGCGCGAATTTTTGCTTTATTCCTTCCGTTGCGCGCCGAGGACGCGTACGCGTATAGCGCGCGGTTTTTTTTCTTTCTTGTTTTTTCTTTTTCGAAATACGCGTATATCTTCTCGTCGGACGTGTTTTTTTTTTATCTCCAGTAATATACTGCAACATCGGCGGCGGCAGCAGCAGAAGCGCTCTATTTTATCTTATCTCTGTTTTTCGTGCGCGCGCGCGCGTAGCCGTACAACATGAGATCAACGATGGAATTGCAAGAAGCGAAAAACGGAAAGGGGACTTCGGAGCGAAATTCCGAGCGTTTCGGAACGCACGAGCGCCGTAAGCAGTAGTTTTCTCTTGCTTCTCTAGCCGTCGATCTGAAGCGTGACGCCGTCCGCCGCTCGCGAGCGATCATTCGAGACAAGATCGCGACCTCGATAAAAGAAAAATAAAGGGCGCGCGCGTAAGCACGTAACACCGTCGAATTACAAGTTAATCCGGGATTAAAATCAGGAGTCTGGCGTACCCCGTGCGATCGCGCACTCGATGGGTACGATGCTCGCGATGTAATTCGATTAGTCCGTGGAAAAGCGAATAAATTAAAAGCAGTTTCGCGACTGCACTCTCCTCGTTGAAAAGAGGCACAGGGAGAGAAAGAGAGAGAGCGGGCGGGCGAGAGAGAGAAAAGAAAGAAACGACGCGCTCGTTCATAATTCAGCGACGAGTTACGGGGCTAAAAGCGAGAGCGAGAGAGAGAGAGAGAGAGGGTAGGAAAAAGCGCGACCGTAGCGGCTCGTTTTATTTGAGCTGGTGTCGCGCCGCCATAAGCAAGCACACCGTCGTTGTCGACGGCGGTGGCGGTATATATGTATTTTTTAAAAATAATATATATATTGTTATATATAAATATATATATAGTATTATATATACGAGCGCGCTCGTTCGGTTTTGTCCCACTAGTTATGTAAAACTGCTCGGGCCGCGCGATCGATTGTGCAAACAGACGCAGACGGACGGAGCGAAAGAGAGAGAGAGAGAGCAAGCGAGCGAACGAGCGGTTTTCCCTTCCTCCCCCCTAGTAAAAGCAGGTTAACGGGCCGATTTTCTATTTGGTGGTGCGGTTGCAAGGCCCCGAGAGATGCGCCCGGCCCGAAAGGAAAATCATTATCGATCGGCGCCCTCTCATCTCTGCCGTAACCCGGCTCTTTCTTCTCGGCGCGGAGAGCTCGTAAAACCTGCCAATTGGTACTATAAACGGACGGAACGCGGAGAGAGATAAGGCTTGTACGAAGCTTTTATTGCTTTCGCAAGGCTACGAAGGGAAAACACAGCGACGACGACGACGACGCGCTGTGAAAACAGATTCCCCAATTGCTGCTCTCTCTCTCTCTCTGCGCGATTACCGAGTGTTTTTCTTATCAACTGCGTTGCCAGAGTGAGAGAGAGCGAGAGTAAGGGAGTGCGGGAGTAGTATGGCAGGGGAAATCACTGTGTGGACACGATGCTTTTTTCCTTTGCATGCGCGATGCGTCGCAACCGCATGCTGTTTATTGAAGTCTCGAGGAGAGAGATACAAACGTTGTTATATCAGCGCAGAGCATCGTTTGTTTGCGTGTATTTGCACGAACTCGTACACACTTCGTTCCTTCTTTTTGCGCTTACATGTACTCTCGAAGGACTCTATTCCCTTACGTGCACACTTCTCCATATCGTTCGCTCCTTTTTTTTTTTGTTTTTCTAAGTACGGTTCAACAATTTTTTTTCCCCTTTCGCGTGATATACGACGATGCAACGTTGAAAGTTTACGGGTGATTTAGAATGACAAGGTGGTTCTTTTTTTCTTTTTTTTTGTAACTAATGGCACTTGATGTATGAATCAGTTGTCTTTTCTAAGCAACGATCTACGCGACGAGTTACGTTATGTACAGAGTAAAATTTTGCCACTAACGCTGCAGAAGAGATATGTGTCTCATCAACTCTCAACATTATCTTCAACGTCGTGTGTCGTTTCACTTGACGGTCTAAAAAATTTGATAAAACGATGATTGTTCTCTTCTCGCGCATCGACGACGATGCGCTTTACGTAGAAAAATAATTATTACGAGATATAAATTCACGAGTGCGTGCGCCATACAACGTGCAAATAATAGGAGCTAATCAGAAGCGTCGTTAATTAATAATAGGCGCAGGAAGGCCACATTTAACATTATTGCAGAGTGGTTACAATATACGGTGATTCGCGATGTGTAATGCGACGACGATGATCAACAAATGAATTATTGCGTACGATCGAGCGCGTTCGGAAGTATAAAAACTCGTCGGGATATAAAGCTCGGCTTGTGTGTGTCTGTGTGTCGTACAATCAATTCGGCGTACGTATCCACATGTAGAAAACATTGTTATTGCGAGGAGTACAGAATATAAAAATTTTTTTGTTAGATCGCTGTACAAGGGCGGAATTTCGATTCAACATATACCAATAACAGACATGGACGTACAACTGCGAGAGAGAGAGAGAGAGGAGCACACTGCTCTCGCCCCACTATTGCCATTCATATAAAGTGTCAAACAAAGCAAACAATAACATAAGGGTGAGGGAATTTCGTGTTATATTTTTAGCCTTGCGCGGCCCATTGTCGTTTCGTATATATGGCGTGCGCCATTCTTATCCAATCACGTACGCATGTAATTGTGTCTAATGGTCGATAAAATATATATACCATTTGCTGTGTATGTGTATGTGTGTGTACGTCTTACATAATTTGATTATTATTTTTAAGAATAAAATCTCCTCAGCGCTTATATATAATATATACGCACACGCTCTATGTATATAACGTATTTCTATAGTGTGCCTGTGTGTATAATATATACGTTTCGTTTAAAAGTGAACAAAAATGTAATATATATATATATATATATATATATATATATATATATATATATATATATATATATATATATAATAAATACACAAGATTCATTTTTCTCGGAACATAACGATGCTGTTTTTCTTTACAAAGTCGAATAAAAATCATCGTCAAGCAAAGTGCCTCGCGGGTGAAAAACAATCGCAACATATGAAATCGAGCAATGGAATGCAAGTACACGAAGAATTTAATACGGCAATACTGCATAGAATTTCGCACTTCAAAGTGTGTCTTGCTTTTTGGTTGAACGCGAGCACTTTGTGTTTACGCGGGATTACGATCTACGCCATAAATAAGTAAAAACATGGAGAGACACAAACAGACAGACATAGAGAGCAAGAGAGAGATAAATAGGGAAAAATACATTAGCTAGTTAATGCAGGAAAGTGGATTCTTGTCTCATGTGAGGATTGCGCCCAAGCAAAGCGCGGGTGAAAAGGCACACGAGACAACAATCTACTTTCTTGACATACGTTAGATACTCTATTTTTCAAAACAACGTGCAGATGGAAAGTGCGAATTTGACTGCACGTTGTTCGCCGAGCCTGCGGCAAAGTCGTACTTCCCGCACGGCGCGTTGAAATAGTACATTTTGATACTACGCGAAAGTAATTTCAGCCTTCTATGGACGTTTGCGCCCGAGCGAAGCGAGGGTGAAGAGGCCACGCGAGGCTGAAATCACTTCTCGTACATGTATCTAACTTTCGATGCGACGTGTGTGGAACGAGATTTTAAGCATGCTCGACTCTTCGAGCGTGCGTAAAGTCCAGTTCCCGCGCACGCAGTGTCGAAAAATGTTTGATTTTGATGTCAAAATATATGTACATGGACGTAATTCGCCGTTCAAAAAGAGAGCGAGAGAGAGAGAGAGCAAAAATTTACAAAATCACGCAATGGACGCATGGAGAGATTCGATACATCAACATTCCCAGAGCGCAACAGCGAGGCGAAGAAAAGAAGGCAAGAGTTGTACTGTCCAACGTGAACGTAGTATCGTGAGGGAGTAATAAGTACAATGGGCCTCAGAGATCGGTGACAGGTCCCTTGGTAGGTCCGGTGCCGTCGTTGCACGAGATTCGGCCGTAATTGAAGCCGCTGTCCCGATCGTCATCGGCGTCGTCGTCATCGCCGCCGCCACTGCTGCTGCTTGAGCTCATGGCTGCTGCTGCGGCCGACGGGCGCCGTAGCTGCTGCTGCTGCTGCTGCTTCGCTCTGCGGCGTATCATACAGTTTCGTTTCAACAAGTCTACTTCTCTACGAGTCAGCAGCCCTTTTGCCAGTGTATTTACACAGCTTTAGCTTTCTACGCGCCCCCGCGATCGACAACGAGAGAGAAAGAGAGAGAGAGAGAGAGAGAGTGAGAGAGAGAGAAGGAGAGAGAGACAATCCCTTTTTTGTTTCTCGTAAATATTATAGCTACGGTTTCGCCTTTGACTTTCCGCAGACGACGGAAGACGGCGACTGGCGTCTTTAATTAGTGTTCAGTCTTGAAAATTAGTGCTAGGGAGCAAAAAGCTTGGAAATTGGACGTAGTTCCGAAGACGATTAATTAACACTCGACAGAAGCGATTGTGTTAAGTGTGTTAAAAAGTGGTTGGTTGTTAACGAACAAAAATCAGCGCCTAGTCTTTTGCAATGTTTAGCTGCTTCGAGATCGAACGCCAATTAAAGACGAGGCAACTCTGTTTTCGATATGTGCGCGATCGAGCATTAGTTGTTTAAATAAAAAGAAAAACAAAAGGATTAACTTTCTCTGTTCTAATGATGAATGACGCGGGTCGAGAGAGGGCTAGGTTTAGGATAGAGCATGCCAATTTCCCGGTGTAGCTGCTATTGTGCATATATATATGTATATATATGTATATCTAGCATAGTGCTGGTTGATGAGAGAGAAATGTACAGATGAACAAACATGCATTGGCGAAAGCGAAAGACAGAGATGAGAGATGAGAGAGAGAGAGAGAGAGAGAGAGAGAGAGAGATCGACCTACGTGGTGTACGTATATACAAATACATATATATATCACAAGTAGGTATGGGTGTGCAAGCGCTTCGCCCCCTTTTAGATGTACGCGGTGGTGTAGGTGTGCGACGACTTGTCTTCAGCGATGAGCATATTGTCGTTTCTCGGCGAGCTCGTGCCCGAAGCCGCCGCCGCCGCTGCCGCCAACGACGACGACGATGACGATGACGATGACGACGACGGCGACGACGACGACGACAACGATGACGATGATGACGACGACGACGACGACGACGACGACGAGGAGGAGGGTACTGTCGCAGCTGCGGCTGCGGCAGTGGTGGTGGCTTGTTTATGATTGTGCTTCGGTGTGCTCATGCGAGATAAAGTGGGTGGTGCCGCTACGAAATCGATGGGGCTTACGCACTTGGCTTGCCGACGGGCCTCTTGCAGCTCGCGGCGCAGCGCCAGGTTCTCTTCCTCGAAGGCCACCAACTCCTCGCCACGGCTGTTCATCTCGCTGCAGCTGTATCGTGCATTTACACAAGCCAATTTTAGCGCCAGGGCAGAGTCAAGCTTTCGCTCGGACGCTTGGTCGACGCTCCTTACGAAGGCTTTGTTATTTAGAGAGCGGTTAGTAGTCGCGGAATGCTTCTCGTGTAGCGTGGCTTTTCCGATGGATTTTGCGCGACATCAGTCGCGTTTGCGAATTCTCCGCGTTTTCGCAGCTCAGACTATACGTTTAGTTGCTTTTCAAGTGAGCCTTTTTTATATTCTATGAAATTCGATTTAGAAGATCAACTGCGGAGATTACTCGGCGCTTGTTACTTGGAAATGTTTTACTTTCAAACTGAAGTGTAAGTTGTTCAGTATGTCGGTCGAGGGTCTATTCACTCAGAAGTCTCATAAATATTTATCGTTATTTTATAATTTTTATCGGTGTTCTTAATGTTTCAGGCTAAGAAGACGCGCGTCTTTGATGTACCACACGACAAACAATCAAAGCACGATTAAAATCTTAATGCAGTTACCATTGGGCTAATTTTCTTTCTTTTACTTAGAGATATTTTATAATATTTAATGCCAAGGTGACATTTAATGCGAGTTGGTCAAGAACTGACTAGCAGCTGAAACTTCATTTTGAAAAAGCTGTACTAAGCTAGTAATGAGTGAAATCATATTTTGGTATAATTCCCACGGTAAATTTCATATCTGAGAATGAGTCATTGATTACACTCGATTTCTTCCAAACTAACGTCAATTTTTATTGGAACATGAGAAAAACTTGATTTTTTATCAACTATTGCTCAGTACACTTTGTCAAATAGCATTGCAGACAGGAGCAGTCACAACTGTTTACGAATCTTGAGGCAGTCAAGAAATACCAAGACTTTTTCAAATTCTAATAGTCCTGAAAAATTGTAAGATTTTGCTCGAATTTTACTGTACGTTTATTACGTAGACACTTCCGAGTAAATAGCTTGTCAATTCTGATTGCAAGTAACGAATCCCGTGGCGATTATCAAAGACATAACGACTCGCAGCCAGATGTTTCTTTGCAATTATTATGGTAAAGCATTGCTGAGACTAGTGAGCGAAGCTCGTTTCTACAAGCCACGGTTGCAAATTAAGTTAAATCTTCATGTCGGAGCGTCTCCCAAAGCGTGCTAACTCTCGCAGCAAATCCAAAAAAGGAGGAACAAGCGTACTACTTCTCGTAAGGAGCGTTAAGAAGAAAGAGAGAGAGAGAGAGAGAGAGAGAGAGAGAGAGAGAGAGATAAAGATGAGGAACCGCAAGCCATAACCGTGCTTGTGCTGTCACGCACTAAGAGAAAGAGCATATACTCACTTGAGACCGAGCCTCAGCGCGGCGATTTCGTTCTCGAGCTTAACGACTCGCTCGTCGCTCGCCCGCGTCACCGCATCCAGCTGACTCTGAAACACAGGGGCAAGAAGAGAAAAAGAGCAGTCAATTAAACCGATTGGCTAATGGAAGGCGCTTTGGAAACTCGACACGACGATAAGTGCCTCCATCCATCGTCGATCTCTCGCGCTGGCGTAGCGCCTGAAACCCGAAGCCCTGCCCCATCCTACCAATTTCATTACGAGGCCCGACGCTGCTTCGTAATGTCATTCAAACACAGCGGAGAGAAAAAAGCAACCGCCGCCACACATACCAAGGCTCACCTGGCTCGCTTCTTTCTTTTTTCCCCTCTCCGTCCTAGGCAAACAAAATCCTCGGCGCGCTGCGCAAATATGCCCATCATGCATAGTAGGTCGAGCGAGCCGCAGAAAGAGAGAGAGAGAGAGAGAGAGAGAGAGAGAGAGAGAGAGAGAGAGAGAGAGAGAGAGAGAGAGAGAGAGAGAGAGAGAGAGAGAGAGAGAGAGAGAGAGAGAAAGAGAGAGCGGAGCGAGAGAGACAACCTATCCGCATGAAGAGCGCGAGCGAGCAGCCAAAACGCCGGATGTACTTACTTTCAATTGTTCCAACTCCACGCTCTTCTGGCACTGCTGCGACTCCATTAGCTGCTTCATCTTTGATAGCATTGCCTCCTCTTTAGCTCGGTTTGCATCCCTAATTTCCTTGATGATATCTGTTCGGAGGCAGCCAAACGAAAAGCTTCGCGTTAATCTCTTTCAAACTGATGCGAGCCAGTCTGCTTTATCGCCGTTTCGCTGTAATTTAATTCGTTTAAATATATTGTTACCTGTTAACATTCCTGGTTGGTACTCCGAAGGAACATTTTGCTTTAGTTGGTTTAATTCAGTCTTTACGGTTTCTAAATCTGTTTTGGCTTCGTGCAGATCCTTATATAATTGACTGTTGATCTCTTTCATTTTAGTCATCTATAAAATCACACAACAATTATTATTCAAAAATATACATATTGTTCCACATACGTAATTGGATCGTTACCTGTTCAAGAAGAGACAAAAACATTTTGTTATTCTTATCAACAGTTGTTATAGAACTCCCACTTTCAGAACTATCAGAGTCCTCTCCTTTTGAATCATCAGGTAAGTCAGCAGGTCCCAAGCCAGGATCAGAGTATCGTCTGTGCTCAGAATTCAACTCTTCACCATTATTCTTATTGTCAATATTTGCAGTGGGAGGTAAACTGGTATAATCTCCATTTTGATAAGCCATTGGTGTGCAGTGAGTCCAACCATTCTCTTGCAAGCTTGAGTAACCGTTACCTGCATTATCGTGTATACCAAGAGGACCATTTGACATTCTGGCTGCAGATGTTCTTGTTCCACCCCTATAAGTTCTATAATTAGGTCTTACTACTGGTTGATAGAGGTGGTACATGGGCGGTAAGGAAACAGGCTCCATAGCATATGTGACAGGGACAGCTGAATAGCCACAAACACTAGGATCTGACATCGCTGTAAAAAGGCGCTGTCCATTGTGAAGGGCTGGATGAGGTTGAGTTTGAGGAGGTCTGTGCTGTTGCCAATACATTTGTGAATAATCCATTCCAGGTACTTCATCTTCACTTGGTTCTTGACTATCTCTACCATTATTGTACCAAGCCTCATGGGGTGTAGGACTCCTTCTGCTGCTTTGTCTTCTTTTACTTTTTCTTGGCTGACTTAGAAAGCCACATTCATTTTGAATTCTTGAAATTTTAATATCGTTATATTTAGCAGAAAAATGCATTTTTTTGTCAGTTAGAAACAAAATAAAAAGAAAACACAACAGTCAGCTTTACTCACTTCTTACTCATAGTCACTGGAATATGACGCGACTGCTTCAGGCACTTGAAGGTAACGCTTTTGCAAGCGTCGCTACTTAATTAGAACATTAGGAATAGGAGTCACGGATAAAACGACCCTGAATTGAATTTCAGTTTCTTTTTATTCGCAAATTCATTAGACGTCACAGATGATCATCGTGGGCGCCGCCATTACATTTTGTTTACTATTTCCATCGAGCGGGATACGGGATTTTTTTGAATGGGTGCGCCTGCTCATTCATCCGAAACGCTTGCCAGCAGACTACAATCAACGTAATAATAATCGCTAATTCTAATGAAATTCGTCTTTTTATTATTTTCAATCATGAGTTGATAATTATTCATAATGATAACGCATTTTCTTCGATATGTATATATATATGTGTATATATACACATACAGAGTAAAATGATTTAGCCAAATGATTTCGATATATCTCGAATACTCATTCGATGTAACCTTACCTACATAGTATAACGATTACTTACTATTGCTGCAGTAGTGCTGACTGCTGACTGGCTATCTGTTATTACAGTCGCAATCGCATCGAAAGTGATATTTTATGTCGTGGCCTGCACGTCAACCTGTACTTTGACCTGACGACAACAAATAACTCCAAGGCTGATATGCTGTAGCAATTGGATTGGGTAATCAGCGGTGATCATCAGCTTTCTACATCCTAAAGCTGATAAAAGTGCTGGAATCGTTGTTTCATCAAGTGTGTTCAATCACAGCCTTAAATATGGGTAACAGATCAAGTCTACTTTTACGCGAAGAAGAAATTGCACAAATCCAAGAAGCTACGGGATGTAAGTGGTGATTCACATCATTATTTTATTGAAAATATTCACTAACATTATTTACTGTAAGTCTTAAATAATTACTGCAGTATAGTTACACAACATTCCTGTATGAATAATCATAATAGAGATGGGTGAATGAAAGTTGAGTTATTAGGTATTTGTTCTTTCAATTAAATTAAAGTAAATTATGTTTTCTTTTCAGTTACACCAAATCAAATTGAACGACTGTATAGTCGTTTCACAAGTTTAGATCGTGGTGACTGTGGCACACTTAGTAGAGAAGACTTTTTAAGGATTCCTGAACTGGCTATAAATCCGTTAGGCGATAGAATTGTTAATGCTTTCTTTGATGAAAGTGGTAGCGATAGAGTCAATTTTCTCCAGTTTATGCAAGTCCTCGCACATTTCAGGCCTATAAAAAAGAATGCCCCTAATATCCTGAATTCCAGAGAAGAAAAGTTACGATGTAAGTGATAAATTGACTTTGTTTCTTGAACAATAACTAAACTAGAGTATCATTTGCTCTGCAGTTGCCTTCAAAATGTATGATATAGATAATGATGACATGATATCTAAAGATGAACTTTTAGCTATTTTACAAATGATGGTTGGTGCTAATATAAGGCATGTGTATTATATTTGTTTACATTAACATTTTGAAAATTGTACAGTTTTATTGTAAATCATATTTAATTGTAGCGAGGAACAACTCTCAAGTATAGCAGAAAGGACACTATCCGAAGCTGATGAAGATGGTGATAATATGATCAATTTTGAGGAATTTTGTAAAGCGCTTGAAAGAACAGATGTTGAAAGGAAAATGTCTATAAGGTTCCTTAGTTAAAACCATCGAATGTTAGCTAGCACAATTTATAAAGTTAACTATTGCCTATTTTCACTGTAAGAGAATACTTCTACGTTTTTTTATTTGATGTAAGTTATTGAAAGCTACAAATTATTTTGCAATTATGGCTTAAGGACTTATAAGCAAGGACTAACATAGATTAAGTGCTTTATGAGGAACTGTGAACAGAATGTATTTAGGTTTTATTTAATTTTTAGATTTAATTTCGTTATTATAAAAGAAAGCCAGCGCGCAAAAACGTTTTACATCTACTAGTAATAAGATGTCATGTTGCATAAGTGCTCTGGTAGCATTTATTTCTTAATAAAACGATTATGTACAATCATGTTACTGAAACTTATAAGCTCTTACTCTTTGTCAAGCACGACCGTACCTATGTACATAAACAGTTTAATTTCCTTAAATGACTTTAAATAAACTATTGTTTGTAGGTAATTTCATAGATGTCTTCAACTTAATTCCTTTACCTTACAAACATTTATTTTTTTTTACAATGCAATTAGAAATGAATGACACATAAAGTATCAGTTAAACAACAAAGCTAATTACGCTAAATTTCTTTTTAAATTATAAAAATCTAAAAGGATCTAAGCAAGGGTGTCTACACAATACAAGTAGTTTCTGTAGTGTAAGTTATTTATAAGGCAATATGGAAATGTTCTTTTAAGGCTATAAAAATGCATTACAATATATTGGCATTAAAAAACTAATCCTGGTTGCCCTTAACAAATACATAATTTATATACTTAACACAGAAATTTTTCAATATAAAAAACAATATTGAATGTACTTTTTAATTAATAGGCTAAGCCGTTGATGACACTGCCAATTTCTTCAAGTGCTCCATGAAAACTTGAAGACTGACGTCGTCCGTCAATACTGGAGCTCCGCTTTCCTAAATAAAAAGCAAATTAATTAGTAAAGCACTAAATAATCATTTTAATAGAATCAAAATGAAAAGCGTGATTATACTCCTTCACCATTAGTTGTTTTTTCAATAGCAAATACATTTTACCCTATCCTAAGAGCATTATAGTTTATAAATTGAAGATTCGACGTTAATTCCACCGTACCAATAGTGAACTTTAAAATTTGTAAAATGAATATTAAAAAATGCAAAAAAGCGTAAATCGAGAAATACATAATATTAATTTAAGCAATAAAGCAAATTAAACCAAATTTAGAAAACAATTCACAAATAAAAAACCAACCCCATTGGACATCGGCATCTGGTTCACAGGATCGTAATGAAATAAAAAATTGATTAATCACAACGTTGAATGCTGATACTAATGATACATTTAAATGAAAAGGAAGACTTTTAATATAATAATTGAACGTGTGAATAAAACGTACCGCTCCATAAGCATACATATTATTGTGCGTCTGACTAGGATTGACTTTACTCAAGAGGAATCTAGCTTGAGAGCCACCCTGTTCAGTGTCAATGTATCTTGGAGCTGGAAATCGTCCTGCCAAGATTTCGGCTGCATCATCAACTGGAGCTGCTAATAGTTGTTTGAAATTTTCATATTCTGGAAGATCTTGGTATTTCAATTGACGCCATTGAGCTATTGTCTGTGAAAAGATGATAACTGAGTTAATGACCGACATTTTAAAAATAGTATTAATAATTAAAAAAAAAAGAAAGAAAATACCTCTCCATGGAATATAAGAATCTGAAAGAACGTATCCATCAACAAAATTCTATCGGGTTGAATAGATGACGTATCCAACAAAACTGGTTCTGGTGGACCACCAAAAGAGTAACTGTACAAAATAGGTTGAACCATAATCAAAGAGTTGGTCAAATCTTCTCTCATGAGCATATGTCTGTAGAAACTAGTTTCGTCCGGCGAATTGTTGAAAACTTGTAGGAATTGCGATCTACGTAAATGATACATGAATTGCGGATAGAGCGAGAAGTTCTCCGCTAGTCTAAAGCTGTTTGGATCGTCCTTTGAGTACTCTCCAAACTTCTGACACTAAAAGTTATGAAATACATCGTTAATTCAATTTTCTTATAATGAATACACTGTAATTAGAAATTCAAAGAACTTACAAGACGAATAAGCATTCTATCCACCCATCTCAGTACATCTGGACCATCTTCACTCTCGGCTCTGAAAACTGCGAGACGAGACATTAATACTGCAGCTGCTTCTTGATCAAAACCAGCGGCAATGTGATGCAAAGATGTCGATGCATCAGCCCAGCTAAAATAAGAAATTGTAATTAAGTAAAAGTTACAATATCAAATGATGACGTTTTCTGATGAGGCCAACTCACTTTCTTGCGACCGTCGTAACTCTAATTCTCCTCTGGCCACTGCTGTGTTGATACTGAGTGATGAATTGTATGCAACCTCTTCCGCCTTGAGGAATAGGAGCTGCTTGTTGGTTAACGACCTCAAAGAACAAAGCAGTGGTTGTTGAGGGAGTGAGCGAACAGAACTTCCATTGGCAAGTACCACCCAAGCCAATTTCTTGTTCTCCCACGCTCGGCCCTTTCACGTTTAGAGATACACAAGGACCAATAGCACCAGAGACTTTCAGCTCTCTAGACGTTTTAACTTCCAATGTGGCATTGAAAGCCATTTTCAAGTCGCCTTTAGGATCCTTGGCAAATACACGTTGGAAAGTTTGCTTGAAGAGGGACGAGTTGAAGGAATCACCCATGACCATATGCCCACCAGTGGAATTACAACATGACCTCATTTCAAGTAAACCAGTTTGATCCAAAGCACATGAGTAAATGTCTATTATGTGCCCATTAGCTGCTACTCTAGCTGCCAAACTGTCATAATGCTTTGTTGCTTTCTTCATATGCTTTGCATTGTCCTTTTGAATGTCATGATGGGATCTGATAGGTTGACGAAGATCATCTGTGACTACTTGGCCAGGACCTTGAGAGCATGGTCCACCCACAAACAACATGATTCTATTAAAAAAAATATATTCTATTTTTAGAAATGGAACTCTTCTTAAATGTTTTTTTTAACTTTAAAATAAACAAAAAAACATTTTTAATTAAAATTACATACCTTCCACCAGTGTTTGCATAACTAGCTTCTAACAAGCCAGTAGCTACAGCCAGCGCAACACCAGTGGATCTCAATGGTCTCTTTCCAGGACCAACAGGCCAAGGATCTTTCTGTAATTCTCCTAACAAATCTGTCAAACTCATGTCACACTTGTGCACAGGTTGTAAAAATCTGTTAGCTGGTGGCAAAGGCTGTCCAGTTGGTCCTCTCTGATTTGGATTTTGTCCAGGAACAGGTCTTCCAATACCCAACATGTCCTGCACCTGTTTTGGTTGCAAGTCCTTAGTTCCACGAAACACATAACTCTTACTGCATCCTTCACAACCAAGTTCGTGAACTTGAACCATCTTGCCAAATGTCACAAGTCCTATTAATGCATTGGGAGGTAGTAAAGATAATGACATCTGAAGTGCATCTTTCAGGGCAGTTAACTCTTCTTCATCTAAACATGTATCTACAACTAGCAAAAATATTGGAGGTAAACATGGAGCTCTCTGAAAATAAAAAGCCTCAATGAACAATTATTTTTTATCATATAGAGAGGATTAATTAAAGAATCCAATACAACACCATGATAGTATATTCAATTGTTGAAAACATTGGAATTAACTCTGCTGGCTGATGTTGTTCTGTAATTGCAGCATATTGTGGTGGGAACTAAACATTCAAAAAGAAAATTTAATCTCATGATCTTTGGAGACTTATTTAGAATAAGCTGAAAAACTGACTGGATTTCTCTGGAAACAAAAGGTGCAAACCCAAAGCTTCGCTCGATAATCAACTTGGCAAAGTGGATTGAGAATCGCTCGACAAGTAGGTCGTGTACAGAGTACAGGATCATATTGGATAGGTGGAAGATCAAGTCGTTCTTTAATCGGTTGATAAAGCGTTCCTAATGGCACGACTAATCGGGTAGCTTCAACCCTAGACGAGGGCCAAACATTCCACGTAAAACGAACACCATCTCGATCCTCGTTTTGTTGAATAAACTCCTCGTACGTCGTCATTTTGACCTTTAATATGGAAATAGAAATCCATACTAATCATCTATTTCACCCGCACTTTTGCTCAATCATTCCGCAACATATTTGTGTAAAGTGAGTGCGGAGGTTAACTGACATATTGAATGACTTACCTCTTCTCACAATTATTAAGCTTAACAGCAATTCAAGATCGAGATAATGAGATCTTACTTCTGCGGCTCGATCAATTTAATCATAATGTTAACAATGTTTTTCATAAAAAAAATCGTGAACGAAGTTTGGTAGCCAAGTATGTGGCTCGTGCAGCCGTCATCCGGGCCACGTCATTTGCTAAACTTGCTTGCGACTGGGGGCCGCCAACTTGCAGCTAGCAGCAGCCGAGCGGTGTGAGCCGTGTGAGCATTCCCTGCGAAGAACACGCATGCGCCAATGTTAATTTAACAATGTCAACATTCAAATGTAAATACGTTCAAAATGTTGAGGATTATTACTCTTTCCTTTATTTATATGATTATCATAGGATCTATGAAATTTCTCGAATTATTCTACAATATTTGATGTTGTAATGGTAAAAAAGTTAACTTTCCTTACAAGAGAATTCTCAATCATAGTAATCATACCTTATGCTGAAGTTTTTATTACGGTCACATGTATCGATCCGTAAGATTTACATTTGTTCATTCGTATGCATACCTGATTACTGTCAAGTTGCAGACGACGGTCATACAATATAATTTGTAGCCAGCTCAAAGCAGTAGACAAAGTTGCGAACAATTCCTTCCCTTTTCGCCTTCCAAATTAATCACGACGACTGTAAATAAAGACGCATATCGGCATGTATGGTAGTAGATGTTTTTCTGTAAATTTAGTTCGAAATATGCCTATTTTTTATATATGCACTAATTATTTTTAACTTTTATATAATAATTCTACTATTTTAATGATATATTTTAGTCACACAATCGACAACATCTATATAGTTAATTTGTAACACGTATAGTGTACTGTTGCAATAGCTTGCGCTAACAAGAATGATCTTTGCAATGTCTTAACAAAAGTAAAATTTTTATAAAAATATCGGAATTGGTTAAAAATATGGAATTGAAATCGAAAAATAACAAGAATGATCATTTTTTTATTATATTATAATAACTTATTTTTTAATATTCCCGCCTTTTTTACGCTAGCGCTGCCTGATTAAAACAAATCGTTGCTCTCTATATATACAGCATGATGTATGTACAATGTGTAGTAGTACATCGCTTACGTCTCATATATCAACCACTTGCGGACCAAATCCCCAGGCAGAGATAGTCTTATAAATTTGCTTAAGACTCCATTTTCCTTCTCCAAATTAAAAACATGGCTCGTGTTCTTGTTGGAGTGAAAAGAGTCATCGATTATGCTGTAAAAGTAAGCGAACAAATAAATACTTTAATCTTTATTCAAATTCTTATCCAATCCATTTTTTTCTTTCAACAAGATGTTTTTCACGTATTTATCGCAAGCAAAAGCTGCAATTTTTTTTTCTGCTGCATACGCTGTGAGCACCAATGGAACATTTATAATTCTAGTTGTTTTATGAATGATATTTTTTTTACTAGATTAGAGTCAAGCCAGATAAATCTGGCGTTATGACCGATGGAGTGAAACATTCGATGAATCCGTTCGACGAGATCGCGATCGAGGAAGCGGTGCGTATGAAAGAAAAAAAATTGGCCGCTGAAGTAATTGCTGTTAGCTGTGGTCCAGCACAGTCTCAAGAAACTTTAAGGACTGCTCTCGCTATGGGAGCCGATAGAGGCATTCATGTGGAAGTCTCTGGGCCAGAGTATGAAACTTTGCAGCCAATTCATGTGTCAAAAATTTTAGCTAAACTGGCCAAGGATGAGAAAGCAGATCTGGTAATTCTGGGAAAGCAAGCCATCGACGACGACTGTAATCAGACTGCTGCGATGACTGGTGGAGTTTTGCGCTGGCCCACTGCCACTTCTTGCAGTAAGGTAGTTAGATTTTCTTATCTGTAAACAAAATGTGTGTTGTATAAGATGATTGTGTAAACTCTATAATCTCGTGGATTTTCATCTTTTATAGATTGAACATGGCCAAGGAGAATTGACAGTGACTCGAGAAATCGATGGCGGTTTGGAAGTCATCAAAGTCAAAACTCCAGCTGTACTGAGTGCTGATCTACGTCTAAATGAGCCTAGATATGCAACTTTGCCGAATATCATGAAAGCTAAAAAAAAGCCAATGAAAAAAGTCACTCCTAAAGACTTGGGAGTTGACATCAGTCCAAGGATTGAAGTTCTGACTGTTGAAGATCCACCAGTCAGACAAGCTGGTTCAATTGTTCCAGATGTTGACACTCTAGTCACCAAATTGAAAGAAAGTGGACATATTTAGTAAAGAAATAAAAATTGTAGATAAAAGAAATATAAATCATTTGTGAGGTACACTAAATCCTTGCTTGTTTATTATAAAATGTATCATAATTGAATAACAGTTTTGTACATTTGTTGACATATTTTAATAACTGTTATATTTTTATATAGGTAATAAATTTGTATACATATTGTAGACAACTGTAATGTCTTTTGATAACTTGTTGATATTTTTTTGAATAAAATACTTTTCGTGCATAGATAAAACTTTTTTTCTTTGGCAAGCATAACATTATTGGAAGAAGTATATTTAATAAATTACCATTTAAAAGCACTGTCCCTGTGTTGTGTTCTGATGATAACTTATGCTCTAATGTCAGTGTCAACCTCCTATTAAAATGTTCTTTGTTTTATTTTTTAGAAAAATAGACTCAGTCAAATGCATAAAAAATTGAAAACAATAATACCTAATAGATGTTGTATAGTACAACAAAAGTCTAACAACTACTCACAATTTGAAAAATGGAGTAAAATTGATTACTAAGTATTGATCTAAGTTTAAAAATGAACAAGAACGTGGTAATACTCTAAAACATTGGAATAAAATACCAATACCCGTAGTACGATTTTTTCAACCATATCCAAGATTTGCTTTCTATTAATAAATAGTTAAAATTCTTTCACTCATTAAATATCTTATGTGAATATACCATTTAATAAAATGGAGCTTATTAACTGTGCATAGAATTAAATCAGGTTAGTAGAATTTTCCAATCGAACCTTTTGTTACTACTATGTGTTAATGGTGGAAATGGTGGTGGATGTAATGTCCAACCATCAGCTCCTGCTCTAGCCATTAGACAAGCTAAGTATGGTACTTGCTGTACCAGACGAGTAACTTCCGTTACGTGTGGTATTTTACCACCAGTCAACTGCCTTGTGCAAGCTGGCAGTGAAGTTGCATGAGCAACTATTAGGACATTACCCTTGGTAATCTCTATAATACTTTTAATGAGAGCATAACTTCTCTCATAATATTGGGTTGCATTCTCTCTCAGTGGGAGCTCATCAGCCCTAACAATGGGCTTATAGGTTTTATCAATTTTAAACCCTGCATCAAATAATTCTTCAGGTGTCATCCAAGTGGGTAAACCATTTTGATACCAGGCAACCCATTCCATAAGGCCTGGCTCAATTTTAATTTCTAGATCAGATTCAAATCCTTTTAAGATTTGTGACAACGTTTGAACACACCTCAAAGAAGGTGAAGCAAACGCAACATCAAAATGTACGTTGGACGTCTTCATCGCTTCACCGATCAAAAGCGCTTGCAGTTCACCTAGGGTCGTCAGCGGACAATCATCTTGGAAGTTATGAATATTTCGAGGAGGGATTTTTGCGGGCATATTGAGATCTCTGCGAACGTAACAGCCGTCTGTTTCGAAGCAATATGGAATCCAGGTACCAAATGTAAAATCTACTCGTTCACCGTGTCGACAAATCAAAATTTCACGTGATGGGACGGTCGTGGCTTCAGATGCTTCCATCTAAAAAACGAGAGAGTACTTATTAAAATTGAGTTATATTTTACCATTCAGCAAAAATAAGAATATTACAGGTTCGTTTTGCGGTGGAACTCCATCAGTGACATCTGAAGATTCACTTGTAAGCACAATTGGCAGCCTCCTTATTTTAGGAATCATCTCTTCAGTGAAATCTATTTTACTTTCAATAATTTGAACTGTAGAGTGTAATGTCCAGGAATCAGAATCAGCAGTTCTCTTGGTGTGATTTAAAGGAAAATAACCAGATGTGCCTGTTAACCAAGAAATTCCTTCTACCCAACCATCTATGGAATTAGCACAAGCTTCTTCTGACACATAAATGTAATCGCCCGGCCTTAATTCTAACTCATCATGTTCTCTTGGAATATGCATGTGCATTACTTTATGCACATTCATATTGCAAGATCGCAGGTCTTTGGAGTACAGCCTAAGTTCCCAATCAGCATGCTTGTTTGGCTCAAGTTTCTCAACCATTGTGCGTAATGGTTCGTATAAGGCATCAGAAAATTGATAAGCCAGAGTTAAATGCATAGATTTCATGTTAGGTTCAGCATTGAGTTCCAATTCTGATAACTTATTTACATATTTAACAGCCAGAGATTTCAGCCATTCAGCTTGTTCTTCTCTCACAAACAAACCCATGAAGTTAGGAGAAATGTAAGTTTCTAGGCCAATAGACTCTGGACAATCATCTCTAGCAATTAAATTTTCTAACATAGTGGCTAGTTGCTTAGCATATTCATCTGCAGCCTTTAGAGATAATTATTACATTTAATCATTATTTTATTACATTTATTGAGGCAATTTATTGCAAAAAATATCTAATAAAAGTCATTTACTTTGAAAGATGAGACCAGTGTAATGTGGGGCATAAAATTATGTACTCCATTCCACTCCAATTCTTTACTTTTGGCCCAAAATCTTTGTAACTGCTCACTTAGTAGTCCAGTAGGACATAAATAAAGAACATATTCTCTTGGATCAGTTGAATCAAGTGTCGAATCTCTGACATGTGCCAACAACCAGTCTGATGCAAGTTGCACACTGCGATGTCCTGTTGCAGCCAAAGCTTTCTCTCTGTAATATATAAAAAATGTAAATAATTGTTAATCTTACATAACTATTACTGTTAATAATAAATTGTATTAGCAAATTACTCACGCTCTGTGTTTTGGAAATCCCATTTGCAAAAGAATTTGCAGTGGAGTCAGGTGTTCCTTTGAAATTTTTGTGGGAGTCGGATTTTTGCGCGGTGGTAACGTCGCCATGTCGGACCATAACTACAAAATTCTGTACACAATTTTAATTATTTATTAAATACCAGAGCAATATTATTTAAATGAGTAAGATCAAGATTAGAAAGTAGGTCTGGTACTTTATCATGTGTTATTATTCTAAAACTACGGTTTACTTATTGATACAATTTTATTTACTAATAATTTATCTTTTCAAAGCAATTTAAATATTAATACTATAACCAAACGTTAATCGTATATTATCGTATAACGTATTGGACAGTCCATTATAGTGAACATAACCCGATACTTTAATAATGTTCTTAATTTTATTACAATTATTTTATGTATATGTACTTATTACTTATTTACATTATAAATTAATATTAATGAATTGATTACCTTAATATTATTTTTCTTGAATTTTTAAGATAACTTAAGAGTATTATGCCAGTTCAATAGGTTTTCAAACTTCATTTCACTCCTCAGAAGTCAATGTCTTGTTGGGTATTTTTGTTTGTTTTCAACTTACGTATTTGTATAAATATGTGAAACTACATATTTTAATATACCGCGACTACTAATAAAATGATAAATATGGTCCACCAATATTTAGGGTATATAAAGAGTGTGTAGTGGGTTAAAATACAAATTACTATATACTTCAATTTGGAGTTTGTAGAATCGACGTTGGAGACACTACGATCGCAGAATTTAAATTGACGACTCAGGTCAGGTGATGGGCCCCTGACTCGCTCTGCACCTCTAGTATATGGGCCGCGAGATTGCTAAGAATCGGATGAGCCATAAAAAACTCATATTTTCCAAAGTCGTGACGAATCTAGGTATGTTTTATAACTGCGTCCGCATTTTGAACGATAAAAAATTCTGTTTTTCGAAATGTAATAATTACTAAGTCTTATAATAAAATAATAAGAAAATCATTTTTTATCATTTCAAATTCAATTATTATAGAAATGTAATAGAAATAATTAATACATTTAATTAAAAATTGATTAAATATACCGTCTACATGTATTGCAAAATATACATCACATATCGGTTATATTCCTTGTTTTACTAGCTTCTCAGTTTTTCTAACTTTTTTTAGAAAAGTAAATCATTTTCTGAATTTTCATGAGTACTTCTTATTATGCATGATTTTTAAATAAATTACGAAAAAGATATATTTAAATAAAAAGGTTTATTTGAATACGTGAGACAGAACTGTATTGAGAAAATTGAAAATCAACCAACCGAAGTTAGTATAAATAATCGAATCAGAAAATAGAATATACTATGTATTATATATATGTACTACATTTCCTTACTCCTTTATGAGATTTATAGAATTATCTTGGAGGAGAGTCAATAATTCTTTGTTTTTGTATTCGAGCTGATCGTCGAATCGGAGGTGAAAATGGGAGTTTGAAAAGATGTAGATTGAGAAATCCTTAGAACTTAAGGTGGTGATAGCTTCTTTGAAATGATATGCAACTTCGTCCTTATAATGGTGGTTTTTGTCAAAAAAAATTTGATGTCGTATGGAGAAAGACGAGTTTTATTGAATGCAATTTTATCTTAAAAAAATGTTACATGTTTTGAAATCTTCTGCGATTCTTGTTGTGTAACATTTTTATTTTTAAACGCACGAATTTAATCAACATCTCGCTTGTAACTTTTTCCCTTATAGTCGATTTCATAGTAAAGATCTCCTAGATGAGCGATTATAATTAACTGCAGGTATCCATTTATGTAATTTTTGGTTACCAGCAAGAAAATATACATTTTCTTGAGGTTGAAATTTACGAAACGTATATAAGTCTCTCTGTTGTGATTGGATATTCATAAGAATTTATTTTCAGAATTTGTATCACTATAAGTTATTGTAATTTTTAATAAAATTCAATTTGAAATTAAAGAACTACAAAGAAAAAACTTTATTATTAAAAACTATAACTAAACGAATACGGTATTTATTCAGTAAATTATGAAATTAATTTTTAAAACGTTTTCCAAATGAAGACATACATATATGCTATTATAAAGCTGGTAAGATATATCTATAGTGATCAGTGAAATTGCTGAACTGCTGGTAGCTTTTTGACAGAATCGCCCAACCCTGGCTGTTACTGCTGTTGTGTGTTCCAAGTATAACCTGCGTAACACTACTACAACTGAACTCAGAACATTTCATTATTACATTTTTATGTTTTTATATTTTATAGTTAAAAAAAGCATTTTTTTAGTTATTTTTGTTTGCGTTCGAGTTAAGTGTGTTTATTACTGTTATTTTATCATGAAAAATACTAGCATTCGTTAACTCCTCATCAAGGTTAGATTTCCGAAAGTATTCTATTGATTTGGAAAGTGAATGTCCTTTATGTTGTTGTCATTATTAATCATTAATTTTTCACTTTGTAGTTTTAATATTTTACAAAATGCCAAAGATACAATCATCATCATCTGATAGTTCTTCAGATGATGATTGTGATATCTATACAAATGCAGCATCCAAATTAAATGGTAAATATTAAAAATTCAAATTTTATTTTTGATATTGTATAAGCAGTGTATTAATTAAAGGTATTTCTTTATTGCAGCTTTAAATAATCAAAAGAAAAGCAATAACAGGAATAAAGTTCAATTGAATGATGAAGTTATTGAAATAAATAACTCAGAAAGGTATTTTTCAATTAATATATGATATTATTGCCTAGAATATACTGAAATAAGTATAAATCTTTTAGAGTAGAACAAGTTATACCACCAATCAGTGAAGCTGAACCTATTGTAAATAATGATAGTTCTGTTGGCAAAGCAGAGTCAACTATACAAGTTAAAGACATTTATAATGAAAATCCTGTAGTTTGTATTATTGATGATGAACTAGATGATGAATGTGTTATGGTAAATCATTTCACACCTCCAAGAACTACTCGCAGTTCAAAAATAAAAAAAGCTCTAGTAATGAATAATTCCTAACTAATATACAGCATATCTATGTACTTTTCTCAATAATTTTACATATGTTTTTATGATTGTTTAGGTACCTAAAATGGTATCCAATTCCAAATCATTTAATGATAGTATAGAGTTGGAACTAAATAAGTCTTACGATTCTGTATTTGATTTGACTCAAGAAGATGACAATTATGTCATGATTGGGTCTCCTGAGCTGAAAAGTCCTTGTAGGGATAATACTGAAGTTACAATAAAAGTTATGTGGAAATCTGATCAGTGTATCCGTTTTGAACTGAAAAAGGTACAATCGTATGCTATAAAATAGTGAAATGTACTCTACTTTATTAGAATATTGATAATTATGTATTAATTCTTATTATAGTACGAAACTTTTCAAAAAATATTCAAACACTTGGCCCAAGAAGAAGGTATTCCAGAAAATCAAGTATTAATCACAAAAAGAGATAAAAAGATACATCCATTTGACACACCTGTATCAATTAATTGGTCAATATTAGATATTCTAGGTAAGTTGATTGTTTAATTTTCTTTAACCAATTTAAATTAATTATTGATAAGTTGTACACTTTACAGAGGGTGGTGTTGTAAGTGCTAATCTTGTTAAGAAACACAAAGGTTTAGGTAATTCTGAACAGAATGATGCTTTAGAAAGTGGTTGCAAGCTTAAAATACAGATATCAGATAAAAAAACTTTAATGTTGACCTTAAAGCACCATGAACCATTTTCGAAATTGATGAGAGCTTGTTCGCAAGAACTGAATGTACAAGAATCAAAAATTAAACTTTATTTTGATGGAGAGTTAATTGAAATGGATGATACTCCAGAATCACTAGATTTAGAAGATGAGGGGTGTATTGATTGTAAAATATCAAAGTAATTTATTACAATTACAAACTGTAACATTTGTACAAATTATTTAATGTACTTTTAGGGTTATTTAGAAAATTTCGTTGTTGAGAACAGTAGGTCTTTTTATATGGAATATCGGAATTATATTTTCAGATCTCATATAATTTATATTCATTTTTCACCTTGGCCAATCAATATATTTTCAAAACTTTCTTCATGAGAAAAAATTAACAATTTATAATAATAATATAATATTATCATAATATCTTTATTTTTGTCAATACGTACATACTATTTCAATTTCCAGTTTATTTTTTTGTTTATAAATTTTGCAATACATTGACGGTCAAATTTTTAATTGTAGCTTCTAATACTTACGAGCATTGCACTTTGTGTGCCATTACAATTATTTTAGTTACATAAGAATAATATTTGGTAACAAGAAAGTACATAACTATATCAAATTACATCATGAAAATTTTTCTTGCACTCAGCACTATCAACAATTTTATCTATGCTTCGGTTTGAAATAACAGTTTCAGTTAATAAATTATATGTGGTTGTAAATAACAGCAAAAACTCGCTTGTGCCAATTAATTTTGATTACGAGTTACATATTTGAACATTGCACCATTACCAATAAGTATTTAAAAATTTTACAAATTTGTCTAAAAAAATTTCGTCTCGTGTCGTTTGATTTCTTTAATAAGAAATATTATATAGAAATATTAAATTACAGTATTAATTTATTAAATACATCACTGAAAAATCGAGACCAGGTCCAGTTGTTTCTTATTTTATCACATGTATTATATAGACAGGTTATTTTATATTTACTTAAAAATTGTGTAAATGCGAAAGAGCTTAATTTACATAGAACAACTGTACAAATATGTTTGCTTTTTCTTTAATTTTGACAAAATATTGACAAGTTAGATAGATTAGATAGATTAGATAGATTACAGAGGGAGAAAGAGAGAGAGAGAGAAAGAGAAATATTTTATTTTCTATTTAAAAAAATTTTGATGAAGTCGATCTCGAGTCATTTAAACTATTATTAAATAAGTGTGAAACATTAGATGAATAATGCAAGCAAATTTCAAATTGAATACAAACATTCCTATTGCAATAGGCAATGGTTTCGTTTACTTGCGACCTTCTCACATGAGCAGCACTTATATTAAGTATTTACTTGATTTCTATTGAAATTATAATGCAAGTAATAACATAGCGCACCATGCCTAAATAGAAAATTAATAGCAGAATAAAAAAATATAATTAAAATGATTGACGTAAATCTAATTTACCGCAAAACAAAAAAATTAATAAATAAATAAATGTTCGTGTATCTGCAATCGAATCTGTGTTATAAGTTACCGTAGTAATAATGGTCAATCTCGAGGTAACAATGGTACTACAGATCGCAAAGACTGCAACTAATTGTCTATACGCTTAATGTATACTGGAATAAAATATGGAACAACGACTGTCCAGTTTGAAATTCAGGAAGTTGAAACTCTGTGTGAATTCTATATATTGTATTTATGCTTTTCATCGTTTATTATTGTTACTTTCCACGCGTCAGTCTTGTGAAAAATCATAAATACGTGTAGATTATTTTATTGTTTTCGGAATGGCATCTCGTCCCGTCTCAGGGTCAACATTTCTTCGTAACGGCGGAACAAAGTGTACAAATTTTGGGAAAAATCATCCAACGTTGATTGGTTAATTTCATAAAATGACTCTTATTGTTAAAAATGAACGCTTTTGATGGAGATGTCCGCAGTCAGCCTTGGTATTCGACGCTGCAATGTCAGCTAGATAATCGATAAAAATTTTTTTATTCAACAATGTACTTGAACGTTTGGCTCCCTCTTTACTATTCAATATATTTTGGGACGGATATTGGGATTTATTTGTTCGTCAACTTTTAATCGTGATACAAGTTTAATTACATCCAAATACATACTCGAAGCTAACTATGTCGTAAACTGAAAGCTAGAGCGTTCGATCTTGAAAGCTAGGCCACTCGTACCCGATGAATTTTCGAAACAATATTTCCTTGCACAGTTAGATTGTTCGTAAGAAAAGTATAATGTTTAAAAGGCTTCATGAGACTGTCGATTGGAGTCTAGATATCGTTTAAAAAGAAAACTCGCCGTTGCCCCTAAAAGGATGCAATAATAATTTCTCTTGCGTTAATTTGAAGTTGACTTAAGAACTAGCACACGAAGTTAAGGTCTAGGCTTTTACACAGTTTTTTTTATACAAGCACACGTGCTTCAACAAGTAGCATCGTGGGTTCCTTCGCTTGAATTATATATAAAAGTTTTCTACGTTAAAGTTTCGTAGTTGTATGTTACTTTTACTGGATGGTTAATTTTTGTCGCAGAGTGTCTACCTTAAATCATTTATACGCGAGAAAGAATACACATTCGTATAAGAAAATAAAGGCTATAATGAACGTACCGACTAAAGTTACTACAGGCTAAATCGCGAATTTCAGCCGCATCTGGCGATAGAGAGTGGCTAAAGTTGCTTCTTTTACAAATAAAAACTTTGTACAGATTCTTTTTACCGTGTATTGTTTTGTTTTCTTACGCTTTATAATATCATCTTTACAATAGCCGCGCGCCGATCGAGCCTGCAATTGCATTTATCAACAGTATCATCTAGACTGCCTGCTTAATATATTCAATCTCTCTGGCAGTACCTCTCCTATCTCTCTTATTCTTCGTGTTACATATTATACAATACATTAGACGCGGCGGTGGCGGCGGTGGCGGCGGTGACTCGATTGAACGAAGCACTTGTACACTTGTCGAAAGGCGACCGTCTCTCTCAGCAGCAACTGAGCTTAGAGTGCAGTGTTGATGATGAGGCTCTCGGCACCCTCGACGAATCATGTGGACACCGTGCTATTGCTGTTGACATTGTTGCTACTGGCACCCGGCGCTTCGGCGCCTCGCCACGAGTTCGCTGCTTCCGTGATTGTTGTTATCTGAAGACACAAACGCTAAGTCAAAAATGACGAACACTTCCTCCTCGACGCTGCTTCACCGCGACTGCTTGAACTGTCGGTCGATTAAGGACTGCAAGCGTCAAAGTAAATCGTGAGCATGTTGCGAGTTACCTTGGCTGTGAACGGGGCTAAACCAAAAAGGGTAATCGCTTGGCAACAAAAGACAATCGATGCAAAAGAACTTTATCGGCGTTAACGAAGCGGACCACGCGTCACCTTATTGTCAGAGCCGATGAGCGGCGTCTCGGCGGTGGTCTCGTCGGGCGATCGGCTGCTGCTCGACATGTACTGGTGCGGAGGCGGTATGTAAATCGGCTTGGCCGAGTGCGCAGAGGCGGCGGCCGTGGCGGCGACCGAGGCCGCGGCCGAGGCGGCGGCCAGTTGCGCGTAGATCGTCGGATCGTTGGCGGCCGAGGCCGCGCAAGAGCTCGGCAATCGGCGCGGCAGCGTCGACATCGGCAGCAGTTGACTTCGCGGCACCGGTTGGTAGCAGTTCGGCGGCACTCGTCGGTTGATCCGCAGCGTCAGGTCGGCGTACTGCATCTTGGATGCCTGCAAAACGGCAACGGCCATCTTTACCGAGTGCAACGCCAATCGGCCGAGCTCGGACTTACGTTGTTCAGCGAGCCGAGCGATCCAGGCTCGAGCAGATGCGACGAGGGATGCGACTGCTGTTGCAGCACGTAACGCGGCGAAGTGCCCTTGCACAACTCGGCGTACGAATTGTCTGCGGAAAAGCAAGCAGAGAGCGTCAAGCCAACGCGAAGTCGCGTGGCATTCCGAGATGCCGATCGGAGACTCGAACCTGTCGCCTGTGGTATGATATCGGGATCCTTCTCGAAGCTCTCGATGCTGTCGCTGCTGAGCGGCAGCGAGGCGGTCTTGTCGTTGGGCGCCGTGAGGGTGGCCATGCCGCCGTCGTCGTGCTGCGAGTCCTTGTCGTCCTGGGAACGCTGCCGGTAGCGCAGCTTCAGGGCCACTATGATCAGGAAGATGACGATGACGAGGCCGGCCGCCACGCCAACCACTACGCCCAGCAACGGACCAGACAGCGACAGTATGACCGGCGACAGAGCTGCGGGCAACCCAAACGAAATTGACGGAACTGAAAGCGAAGGGGCGGAACGGGCGACAGAGCGCCCCCCCCCCCCCCCCACCCCGACGATACGACACCTGGAAAGATCTGATGCTCGGGACTTTCGCCGCTATTCAGGTTCTGCTGACTGTTGAGTACGGTGGCATCGCTGGTCGCGTGAGCCGTCATCACCCTGACGAAGAGCACGAGACCCGAGTGGCTACGCTCGGCCGGCAAGTCGGTCACTTCGAGCATCGACGGACTCATGCTGGTGGCCGAGGCGAGCAGACGACGAGTCTCGGCGTCGAACACTTGCAGCACGTACATCGCGCTTTTGCTGTCCACGTAGTCGCTCTCCGCGCAGCTCACCCTCACCGTCGTCCTCGTCTCCTCGGTGATCGTACAGTTCTCCGGTGACGGTGGTCGTAGCGGCTTGTCGCCTGAGCATGGTTTATCAGTCATTGCTCTCCCGTCTATCGCCAAGTCAATAACTTTTGCAAGCTTCCCTTTACCGTCGAACGCGCAAGTAATATCAAACGATAAAACCAACGAATGGAGCACTGACGGTATGGCGCGGCCGATTCAAAATTTTATATTTTTTGAAAATGTATGACTTGAAATGGACGCTTGAGAGGCAAGCGAGAGCAATTGAATATAGCCTATAAGCAGAGTCAGTTGGTACTTTGAAATCTCTGTTGGTGCGCTACTGTGCCAAGAGTGCCAGAGTCCGCGCAGCAACGTGGCTCCGTGCCATTTCCAGCTTAGCAGCCCCCAAGATACCGTAACAAACGAGCGCTAAAAAGTGTAGCGCAGAGCCGTTAGCGCAAGCAAACCGATTTATTTGATTGTTTTTTCGGGGGAACTGGTTGTGCCTGAGAGCACGCGCCTTCCGTACGATGGCGCAATAATCCAAAGTTGATCCGATCGTCGTTAAAAAAATACATAATGATAAAGTTTGCTGAATAAGTCGCGAATCGGAAAGAGAAAGAAAGATGGAACGAGGGAATGTGCAGAAATAGACCGAATGGGAAAAGACCAAGGTAACGTTACGAGCGACGTTAAAAGGCCGGCTAGTGCGGCTAACGATATTCCAGGCCGATCCGACGCGAAAGTGAAATCGACGGATGCCGAATTGACGCGTTGGAAGGGCGCAAATTGAATTTTGGACTGACCGGTACGCCTCTCAGGCTGGTTGAGAGTGGTGGCGTGCAGCTGCACCGGCTCGCTTCGGCCCTTGCTGTTGCTCGAGTAGACGGTGAGGAGGTAGCTGGTGCTCGGCTCGAGGCCGCTGATTCGAAAGTCCGGCTGGTTGCTGGTCAAATTGTAGACCACCGCGCCAGCTGGCGTCCTCAGGACGACGCCGGGCGAGGCGGACGGCGGGGCAGCGGCAGCCACGGGACTCGACTCCAATTCGACGACCAGCGTGAACTTTTGCCGCAGACCACCGTCGAAGCTCTCCGCGCACTCGACGCGCAACGTGTCCGAGGTGGTGTTCTGCAGGCTGCAGTTGTGCGGCGTGTCTGGACGACCTGCGCTCGGCGACGATAGTCGGGATGGTCAGCGGCTTGCCATCAGCGGGCCGAAGGCTTGTGGCTTACCGGCCGGCACGACGTGAAAAAGGCAGGGCTCGGCCTGGGCGCCGAGCTCGTTGGTTCCCGCGCAGAGCAGCGTGCCGTAGTCGAGCTCGTTCATCGGCGTGTACGAGACCGACGAGTGGGCTTGGTCGCTGCTGATCAGCTCCAATGGTATGTCCATGGTCTCCATCGTGTTGTTGAACTTCCAGCTGAACGTCACGTCTCGTGGGTTCGCCTCGAGCTCGCACGGTATTTTCACGGTCTCTTGGCGAGCCACGCCGAACACCTTCGTCTGACCAGCTCGGCACACCGGCGCAACTGTCACGTGCACGCAATTCGTCCTTTTAACTAGCGACCTACTTCTCGTCCGCCACGATTCCGATGTACGGGATTAGGCGAAAGGCCGCGCAAAGTGCGTTTCGAACAACGTATCGTTAAGCTTCGAGCTCGATGTGCCGATAGAGAAAACGTCGTTTTTTCGAAACTTGCCTGGCAGTCTTATACTCTCTTTTTCCCGGCTTTTTCCCGGCTTTTTCCCGGCTTTTTCCCGGCAAACTTTTCACCGAACGATTTTCAAAGTTCGAGCGTATAACAACTGGCTAATCTTCATCGCGTCGCTTAGGAGCCTTTAGTTTCTTACTCGGCGGCGCCAGTAGCAGCAGCAGCGGCAGCAGCAAGAACCGAATGTACACGGCGAATATAGCCTCGCGCTCGAAATCAGCAAAGTTCCAAGCTGTACGCCTCGGGAATCGCAAGTTTACGGAGTGCGTAAAAGCTACGCGTGTTTCATATTACATAACCATCTTGCTAAACATCCAACGAATGCTCTCGCAATCAGCTCTCTTAATGAATAGCCTCGCCGATCAATGCTTTTCGGCAACTTTGTTCTTTGTTCTTTTTCATTTACTGTTTATTCATCACGGCCATGCTGCCGCTGCATTCATTCGGGCATGTGTGTCAATATTTGAGGAGACTTTACGTTTGGGTAACCAATCCAGAAACGCGACGGAAAAAGAGCGAGGCATCAAGAGATTCCTTCCGTACAGCCGAGCTTTTAGCCGAGTTCAGCGCGAGCGGCAACGTTTTCATTCGATTGCAATATTGCTCGGAAATAGTTGAGCGTTCAGGTCTTACGTCAACGAAAAGTTTGAGCGCTCCGCCGCTCATTTGCGAATTTGAGAACTCGGGGAAATTAAAATTGGCGATAGAATTGAAAATGAAAGCTCGAAAACGAGGGCGCAAGTGAGTTGACTGAATCTCGATTGCGAGGGGTAGCGTGGGTGGGCAAGGACAAAGGAAAAAGGCCAGGAGGGAGGAAGGACGGAAGGAAGGAAGGAAGGAAGGAAGGAAGGAAAGAAGGAAAGAAAATTCATGTACGGAAACTGAAATTCTCCTCGCAGTGAATTGAACTTTGGCATAGACGGCATAGTTGCGCATGCAGGGAGAAGCGAAAGTTTCGGTTCAATTTCGATGCAGTTGCTCGGTGGCATTCGCACGATCGATACGGCGCACGGCACTGCGCCGAGTGCACGAAACGAAACGGTCGCGGATCTTTGGCGTGTATAAGCGCCGTTCGAGTTCGCGCAACAACTCACACTTGATGTCCAGACTGAGCTGGTTGCTCTCGCCGTCGCCTTCTTGATTGCTGCCAACGCAAGTGTAAATGCCGGCTCTGTTCCGCGACACGTTCTGCAGCACGAGGCTCTGATTGCTGACTATCGTGCCGCTGGCCACGTTGTTGTAGAGCGGAGTGCCCTGCGTTGCGTGCGCGCAAAAAGCGGAGTCCCGTCGGGTATGAAGCAGCGCCGGGCATGGAACAAACAAAACAGAGCGAATCAGACCGCGGAACAAGCTTCGCGGCTGTGTCCGTTTGACTTTACACAGGCGAGCTTTTAGGCGAATAAAAACCGAATGTAAATAGAGGAATCCGGCAGCGCCGATGGATACACACGCACGCCGGTTATTAAAACTTGTTTCCAAACATTCCAGACAATGTAAATTTTATTCCGGAGTCCTCTGTTTATTTCCGTCCTGTACCCGAGCCCAAAAAAAGCTCCAGTTTCACTCGATTTTGAGCCTTCGACGCTATATTTCCTTCCAGCCACTTGGCATCTCACTCGTTATTCGATCGAAAGCAATATCGTAAGAGTAGTTAAAGCTCTTCGGGCCGGGAATTCCAGATACATTTGCAAGCGAGTCCCGATGTAGCGTTATTCGTTGGGCCCGGCGAGACTTGACTTGCAGCACGCTACGGCTGTGTAAACTTGGTGAAATGGAACGACTTGGAGTCGCGCGATAGGTGGCACACTGTAAATGGATACTTACGTTGTGCTTCCAGGAGACTTTGTAGACCCAAGGATTGGATTTGATGTTGCACTCGAAATAGACGTCAAGACCCTCGCGAATGGCACTGGCATTGAGGTTACTGCCGAGTTCGAGGGTGATTACCGGCGAGTCTGTAACGATTGCCATCCAAGTCAGAGAGTCGATGCGAACCTGGCAAAAGCGAGAGACAATTCCCGCTCGCGCAGTCGGCTCGAACTTGCTGATCGATTGTCGGCCGCTCGAGAGTGGCAGAAAACTTGGCCGCGGCGGGTCAATGAGAGCCGTAGGCTCTCGCTTAGGACCAGGCTCGAGCGGCCGAATTTGCATGACAATGCGCCGGCATAAATTACTCCGTTGGGAGGGGAAGGGGCTGGGAGGCCCTGCGGCTGTGAGACGCTGCGCCTACTTACGATGTATGTCGAGCTTCCAGTCGGCCTCCATTTCGGAATCCGGGATCTCGGCGACTCGGGCACGGCACGACAGGAACTTGCCTGCGTCCTCGATGCTCGGCACGAACGTCACCACGCTCGTCGTCGTGTTGCCGTCGGGGCTCACCTGGCGACCGAAAAATCACTCCAATCAGCCGCGCGCAGCCGGATTTGACGAGCGAGAGGCGCTCGGACGCGCGATGTAGGTCATTGAGCGTCGCCCTCTGCGTCTCCCGGCGCGCAGAGCCGGATCGAGTTTAGCGGTCGGCCCTTGCGCCGCGCGACACGAGGACTCGGGCCAAAGGGGAGCACAGCGCCGCGGACAGGGTGTCGTTTGCGCGCGACGACGACGACGACGACGAATTTCCGCCTCGGCAGGCATTATTAATGCGTGTGGCTCCGATCCGCGCAAAATCGAGGCAGCGCATAATGCCGCTGCCGTGCACACACGACCCAATTAAACAGGCGTTCGACTTAGCGAGCTTAGGCTTTGGCTGGCCCTGCCCCCCCACGCCTGCCAGCTCGGCGCCAGCTCCGGCACAAGGATATCGAATGCCGGAGTCCCGGAGTCCCGGAGTCGCAATCGACCGGTCGTCGCTGGCTTTTTCTCATTGCGGATGGTATTTCAGTTTGTTTATCGCGAGAAAAGCGTCAATGGTACAAAAGGGAAACGGCGGGGGGTGCAAATGGATTTCGCGGAAGCAGAATACTCACCGTTTGCCTGACGTTTTTCAGGGCGACGCCTCCTTTGGTCCATTCGATCGTTGGTTCAGGCTTGGCACCGACGACCTCGCATCCTATTTCGTAAGTCATGCCTGCGCTCAATGGCCGGTTTTCTCCTTGCAGTCGCACCCACAACGGCCTCACTATAAAATATAACGCGCGTACTTTTTCTATATCTCATTTCTCCTTTTCTCTCCCTCCTGCTTTCGTTCCTCTTGTCTGTGTGCATTATGTACACGAGCGCATTATAGCCTTGCGGAGTCAGTGTTCGAGAACAGTTTTTGGCTATTGCCATCCGACGACGATGCGCCTTCCGCACTTCCTACCCTCTCTCCCTTTTCGGCGAACTATTTCGGTATATGGCCGCGCCACGCTCTCATTTGAATAGATCAAATTTTGGCCCCCGAATAAATTCAAAGTTTGCCGACAATTCGAAACTTTTTGTTTAACTTGCAGCAATGCTTGCGCATTTATTCGTCTGCACCATTTACTTGCTCTTGTTACTTTCGAACGAGGATCAAACGAATTATCGACCGCTTCCCCCCGAGTTTCGTTTGTTCGGCCAAAAATATTTCCGTTTTCGTTGGGCTTTCCCCGATCGACTTGGAGGGGCGCGAGCAAACTTTTATCGCCGAACGCTAATCAATTTCATTATTCAAAACAGTATAGTTAAAATCGGCATGCCGCGTGAACATTAAATTTACCAGGCAAAGATAAAATTTGGACTTTCATGAGCGCCGTTGGCTTTAACAGCTTGATGTGTAATAAAAGCAAGTTGCTGCAGGCTCCCGGCTTGGCTCTGCTGAAGATGGAAAAGTATAAAAAAGACCCGGAGAGAGAATGTAAATGAAAAATATGAAAATTTCGTAAACTCGTAAAAGTACTTGTTTATGCAAGGGATAGAGGCGAGCTGCGGAGCTACGCGTACGTAGGCACGGCGCGCGCGCATACTTTGCGCGGCGCACTGGTAATAATATGCGCTCCTCCGCGAGAGCGACACACATTGCGCAAGTTTGCGCAAAAAGGAAGCCCAGGCGAGGGAATAATTTAAATAATTCGGCGTACTCACGGTTCATGTCGAGAGTCACGGAGCTGGATATCGGCGCGACCATGTTGTTGTTGGAAGCTTGGCACGTCAGCACCGCGTGCAGATGCTTGCGCTCCAACTTTTCCAATCGCAGTACGTTGCGCACCTTCTTGTTGCCGATCACCTCGTAACTGTCGTCGAGCAGTGCATTCTCCTGCCACCAGGTCACCCTAGGCTGCGGTCTACCTAAATTTCCGTGGCAAACGACGGCCCGTTTCAACGCTTGCTTCTTTATACAATGCTCGCCGTCGCAATTTGCACATTCTCCAAGAATTCGAACCAATCGGCCCGCGAGACCGAATTGCAGCTTTCTTCGCTTCCTACGAAACTGCCTCGCGTGGCAGCGGGCAATCGAGGGGTCCGTTCCTGCCACGCTACGATTTTCGCTTCCGAGTTCCACGCCGATATTTTCCCCGGCGCGCGCACTCAAAAGCGAAACAACTTGCCGCTGCGTTTGCGCGCAACGCCAGCCAATAAATCTCGAACATCGAGCGAAACGGAAAGAAACTGTGGAAGAGACGTTATGGAGAAAAATGCAAAACATCTCTCGATCACGGCGCGTTAACCGCACGACCGCAAGACATACGATACACTTGTTTTCAAAGAATCTTCCCGAGGTGAACGCGAAGATAAAGAAACGGCATCCTGCGGTGGCTCTCGATCGATAAAAATCCACCGCGGACGCTGTCGCGTCTTTCAAATAAGCTACGCGCTGTCGAAACGATAGCCAGTTATTTCGCCTCAATTTATATAATTACCGCAGTTAAATTCGTCAGCTGCGGAGTTCATTCGCGAGATGATATTTGATTCACTTGGCGCGCAGCTAGCGAGCGCTTTGATAGATGTGCGCGGCAGCGCGCCGAGTCGCGCCGGAAATGAGCGCTAAGCGGAAAACCTAATGCGCGTTAATCATACCGCGGGGAGCGCCTTATTGGCAAAGTTGAGGCAAAGAGATTCGTCTGGCGGAGCGAGACAAAGCGTATCGAGAGGCGTCGCGGCAACGATTTCGCGATCGCGGCACTTTTTACATTGCAGCGAAAACGTTGCGGGCTCGAATAGTAGCCGCAGCCAATAATGTTAATTGCGCGCTAGCTGTGTATAAACCCGGAAATTTCAGCGAGGAACGAGAGCTCCGCTGACGAATGATTATAATTAGACTGACTATTTTATGGGGCTGCAATAATACCAACAACGTCGGCGCTTCCCATTGAATGTTAAACATCTCGGACGAAGAAGCGACGAGGGAAAGCGGCATGCGTCCGGGATTTGGCGGCAATTCCGAAATTTTTCCCATTAAGCCTCAGAGCCACTGCGACACTGAATATCACGCTCGTTCCGTCTTTGTTTTTTAATCAGCGAGAAAACCTAGAGAGGCTAGCGAGAGCTATGGAGCCGAGATGAAAAGCGCGCGCAGGTGAAAGGAGGCAACTGTTGAATGCAGCGCGAACTCGATACGTATGGGCGATATGGCGGCAAATTCAATAAGCTGCGACTAATGACTTTTAAATAGAGTACACATATATAGGTACGGGCGAAAAATAGACAGCGCCGCGGGGAGGTAAAATTGAGCGGTGGTCGGGGGCTTCGAGGAGGCGAGAAGGACACGAGCGTAACAAAGCAGCCTCATTTGCAAGCTAAATTTACAAGCGTTTTCCCTCGCCACTTAAAATGCAAACTTCGCGCGCTCGCTCGATCTCTCGGCTAAAGCCAATAAGTGAAAGAGCATTATGTTAATAGTGCTTTTTCCGACAACACAGCCTAGGACGAGGTAGCTACAGTGCAACAAGTACAGCTTGGCCGCCGCGCCCGTAAATGAGGGCGCTCTTAGCTTTGTGCTCGGCTGGCTTGAAATATCGGCTGGCTTGAAGCCGGCTGCTTAGTCGTGCTTGACCGACCGGTCGTCCGACTTTTTCAGCTCCGGTGTTACGCCGCTCGCTCGACTTTCAAAGTTACCGAGTCGGCGTTGTGATTCGCGGCGCCAACTTCGTCCTCGCTGATTATCGCGAGCGTCCGCGCAATCGGAAGGCTACGCACTCGTATATACGTATATACACGTCGCTCCCAGGCGCGGCTCGACTTTCCCATCGAATATTTCAATTGCGCCCGACTCTTTTCAGTTTTACTTTTTCCTGCGGGACAATTATGCACCCGGAATGCGGAAAATGCAATCGGCAGCGGCAATTACGCACATATTTCTGTGCGTTTCGCTTTGTGCCGTTATTAATTGTTTTTACAAGGCGCGTACGTTGCAAAAGCCGGCAAATGCCTCTTTGAAGAGAAGGACATTTCACGAATATTATGAGCTGGATATTACTCGCTAAATGAATGTACAATTTTTTGTACGACAAGTCCGTTATGCTTATAATAATCCTGCATTGTAAAACCTAGTATTTCGCTGAGATAAAAGAATTCTTGGAAATGTAATATTACGAAGCACAGTTGTTTGAATTTCAATTGTAAAATTTTGAAAAGTAGAGGAGAAACGAGGAAAATTTCACTGCTACTCGAGTGAAGTGCCATTACACGAGAATGACAATAATAATAATTGGATGGTGGATTCTGATCGATGCCGAGCTAAGTGTAGGAGGGGGTATAGTTGACTGAAGTAGGCTGGTGCGGCGGAGAGGTCGGGTACCGAGGGGTTTGCTCAGCGAGCAGAATAAGCAGAGAGTGGCCGCTGCTAAGAGCGATTGTGTGTGCAAGCGCGAGAGCATGTTAAGTGAAGTGTTGATTGCATTGACCAACCTCCAGCGGCGACACAGGTAATGTTGAGCGAGGCTCCTTCGCTGTAGGGTCCCAGCCTGTAGTAAGTTATGTGCGACTCTCCGCCCTCGTCCAGAATGCTCAACTGCTCCGGCGGTACTGCAAAACGCGCTGCATAAACATCCTAACTTACGTCTACCGCCGACCGTCCGATTACTAAATCATCGCTGGCTCGATAACTTCTCATTGGGTAACGTCGCCATCTTGCCGACAGTGCCGATCAACTTGACAATCTCATTTCGGTCTAAGAGCTTTTTCATTCGACTCAAACTTTTCTTATGACTTTCACTGTTTTATTGTTTTATTGTCCCTCCTCGCAAATTTATCCGCACTAATATCAATTAATTTACATAATCTACGCCATTTCTAAAAGTATACTTCTTAGAAACTAGACTGTCGGCAAGATGCCTTACGAAGTATCCAAAGTTAAAGCTAGTCTGAATACTTCATAAGAGTGACTTATGTAAACTGGGACTTAATTCGAATGGCTCCGTGATTTACAAGTCGACGTGAGACCATCAGTTTGTAACTATTGTTTCTCAATGTGATTTAGCTACCTATTTTTGCCGGCGAATGAAGTAAAAACAAACCGGAGGCTTACTTATGACGGTGAGGTTGACTTTGCTATTTCTCGTGGGCGACTGCTTAAAGTCAACACGACACCGATACAAGCCAGCGTCACTTTCTTTAACGGACTCGAGATTGAGCTTAGCTGGCGTGTCGTTGTGCTTGAAGAAAGCTCGTCCGCCCAAGCTCGGGTCTTGCCAGTGTTTGCCCTGTTCAAGTGCAGTTATTCCTCGCGAATCGAAGCTGAAAAAACCGAATTCAAACAGCCTTATTATTTCGCGAGGCGAGTTAACGTTAAAAACTCATTCTCATTGAAATGAAAACTGAAAATGTTCGGTAGAACTGCGTGAATGAGCTGTCGAATATAAATTTCATCAATTCAAGAAAGCGCGAATTCATTTGAAAGGGATCCATTCTGAAACTTTCATCAAAGTCTAGTCATATTTAACTTGTTCCACTTGTTTTCCAACTTGCGCATACTCGAGATAAGATTTCGCGTGTATTTCATTGCGTCTCGACTTTATTTCTGACGGGGCTAAGTGGATCAAGAACTCTCTAACCATATTCAATTGATTCTGCTTGTTTTGCAACTATTGCAATCTCGGCCAGAAATAGAAATATTATTGTATCATAGTCTATCGAGAATTATAATGGTATATGTCAGTTTTGTGCAGAAGATTGAAAACGCTTTGAAAATAATTAATATACCTATATATGGGCAGATCAGCAGGCTCTTTGTACCAGATGACGAGGTGTACCTTGTCGCCAGACGTCGGGGGCTCGACGTCGCACGGTAGTTGAGCAATATTACCAGCTACCGCTTGTGCATCGCTCATCGTCACTGTAACACGTAAATAGACAGGTTGGCTTTAGGGAAATTTTTAAAAATTTACACGATAAATGGAATGCCTGTGGGGCGCACATTTGCGTATGAGTCTCGGCGCTGTCTGTCTAGCGGACATTTCACGAAGCCAGTACGAGAACCAATTCTTGATTTGGGCTCAATCAACGAATGTAGACAAGCGCTTCTTTCATTGTGTGACTTGTAATGTGGTATGCACATTTACCGCAGTTTATTCGCTGATTGTTATTCCTGTTTTGTTTCTCACGTTCGACAGACAAATAAACGAGTTGCGCGTAATAAACCGACCATTATCAAAGGCAAATCAGCATTGCTAGTGTAAATGTCGACAAAATGGCAAATAAAAAATGGTAAAGGCAAAAGAAGCAAAATGACGATCACTGATTCGGCATTTGAACGAGCAGCAAGATGAAAATGCCCACTACGCGCGCGTGCACGCGAATTTATAATTAAAACCATCACGTTGATTGAATAAGCGTGCTCTTGTTTACGCTGTAGTGAAGCGACAACTCGCGCTTGCAATAGTTGGAGAGCCGGCGATTCGCAAAAATTTGTAAAAAGACGCCGCTTGATTCGCACGAACGCGATAAAAATTGGACAAGGAGCACGCGAAGAGGCGGGAAAAAGCCGGAAAAAGGTCAAAGAGGCGCTATCGAAGACGAATCAAGCGAGAGGAAGGAAGGAAGGAAGGAAGGAAGGAAGGCGAGAATTTGAGAGCGGAGGGCTTTTTGAAGCCTCGGAGAATCGCAGAGCAGTTGAGCTTATCTGCATAAATACAGCTGCGAGTAAAGTTTCGGAGGCGCGTGAGCTCTGCCAGGCGTGAGCGTCATTCATATTCCGTGTAGCGAAAGGGAGGAAATGGCGTGCCCTCTCGCTCCCCTCGACGCTCTAAATTTTTCGGCCATTCGCGGAACTGAAAGTGCGATGCGCACGTGCGCGAGTCACGGGCCAACGATCGTTCGTTCGCCACAATGAGCTTTGGAGCGACAACAGCGCCAGCGATTACGGCGCGCGTCGAGCAATTTCGTCCTCGAGTCGGACGCGTAGGCGCTGCTCGCGCGCTTGGCTCCGGAAGACTCGCCGTGCTCGTAGCCGAGGCGCGGGTGGGGTCCACTGCCAGACAAAACAACGGCTAAAGTGCTGCCGGAGTCGCGCGCGCTCAGCACAAAGGCCCACAAAGACTCGGCGACGACGACTTTTTTAAAAGCTCGATCTTTGCTGCACTTTGTCCCATTTCTACTTTCCCGGAGGTCCTTCGCGTAACAAGACTTTAATCAGCTAAATTGATTTGGCGTCGCCGCGCCTTCAGCCGGCTATAGCTATGCGAACCCTTATATTCTCTCCGTTAGAGCCTCGCAGTTGCACTCCGGCCCTAAATAACCTTCACCCTTTATCTTCCCACCCACTTGCCAGCTTTCGCGATAATCTCGCTCCGCTCGCAATGCTTTCTCTACCCTTCAACATTCTCCGCTGGTCGATTGAATTTTTTCCCTTTCCTCCAAACTATAATCCACTGCGCAGCTAGCCGCGCTCCTTACATATATATATATATATATATATATATATATATATATATATAAAAGCCTCTTCGCGAGCCCGGTATTGCTCCATTTTCATTTTTTCTTTTCTTATTCCTTTGCCGAGACTAACTACCGCTTCCCGCGAGTTTCTCTCTCGGATAAAGTTGCGACAACAATTTTGGAATTACCCAATTTCGCCCATCCTCCGAAACAAAAGTAAAATGTCGGCAAGCGGCGGCGAACACAATGGCGGAGGGAAATGAAAAACAATGAAAGATTCTTTCGAAAACTAAACTCTCGCAGTGGCAGCTATTGTTTCGTCGCAAAGTGTAACGGGATATTAAACAATGCGCGCGAACCATTAAAGTGATGAACTGCTCAAGAGAGTTACTTTCATCAGGTTTTATCGTTGGCTTGGTATAAGCTGCGGAGAGGGCGCAGTAGCTTACTCTTACTCTTTCTCGCGAGTAACAGCGAAAACAAAAAGAAAAAAGAAAAAACAAGGAGACGAAGAAGCGGAGTCAGCAGACTGTAAACGAATCGCGCTGCGAGTATACGTGCACAGGCCAAAAACGAGAGTAAGCGCTTGGTTAGAAATGCTCGATGAAGAGAGATGATGATTATGATGGTTGTAGAGGGGAATGGGCTTGTACAGGATTCGATCGTTGGAGGATTCTTGCAGTTAGCTGGGTGCATTAATTATACGAACGTGCATGCTATACGCGTGTGCTATCCTCGTACATGTAAATACATGCAAGAGAGGAGTCCATCCCATCCCTTGCCGCTGCGTACCTTTGCCGAGCGCACGGGCTTTTTTCCCCGAGTCTTTGTCGACGGCTAACAAAGGCTCACCACGTTAATTAAGAAATCGCATTTTTTTTTACCTTCGACAACGAGAGTAATTCAATGCCCGTCGATTCGACTCGAAGTAACAAATTCGTAATTATTTAAATGACGCTGATTTTGAAAAAAAAAAAAAAAAATCAACTAAAAAAAGAAGAAGTTCGCTTTGAAGGGCAGTGCTACTGGGAGCGAGTGAAGGCAGCTGACCTTTTCAATTCCGACGCATCAGGTGTATTACTGCGTTTCCATTTGTTTTCTTTTTCTCTTTTCTTTTGTTTTTGCATTCTCTGTAGCGGCGGCGGCGGCGACGACGACGACGACGACGACGTTCTCATTTTCTTATTCCTCTCGCACGCCTCTGTTCTCGTCGACACTCTCGTTTCGACAGTAGCAGGCATTTCTCTAATGGCTCAGTGCTCGAGTGTCTACCACTACTCTCTTAGTCGGCCGTGCAGCTGCACGTACACAGTGGCGCGCTCGGGGTTGCCAAATGCGCAGCGCGTTGCGCCTAGTTGTCACTTTCATTTCGTCGCCGAGCACGGCTCGTTTAATTTATAGAGTCGACGTTCGCTCGCTTCACCAGATTATTTCGTCGGAGCGGTGGGTCGCGCGCAACAAAGCCGGATGATATACTAAGCGCTTCGCCCGCACCGCTTGCACGCGCTGTCGCGCGCTCGCTAGCTAACTCTCTTACGGGCCGGGCGGCCCCGTTCAATTTTGCGCTTTAGTGCGACGTGCCTGCCTTGCTCGCGCTCGCTTCTCTTGGCAAGCACCTCTCGTTGAAAAATCCGTTCGATCCAATCCAACCCCCACTGCTGCCGTGCACTTCTTCTTGTCGCCTCCTCGGGATGCCTTTGCGATAATGCCAAAATTCGGCCTCGCGCCCCAACGGGACGCGCGCTTTTCAAAAGAGCCAGAGCAACGGCGCAGCTATCCAGGTGTGGGCGCCGCCGAACGCTCAATGCCCTGACAAATTAATGGCACGTTGGGTGGTTGCGTGCGACCTCTAGCCGAGAGAAAGTTTTCGCCCACTCGGCGAGCGAGCGAGCGAACGAGCGAGCGAGCGAGTTGACGTATACTTTCGACGCGTAAAGTCATGGCATATGGGCGCGCGCGCGCGCGACGATTTCGCCCCCGGAGCGTCGACGACAACAAAGCTTCGCCGAAAACAATAGGCAAACTATTTGCCACACTGGCGACAAATGCGTTCGACGAGGGTAGTTGCAGTATGGTCGTTGCTTTTTAGCGCAAAAAATACAACGGAACGGAATAAAGAGAACACAATGGAAAAATTCAGAAAGATACGAGTTTCTCTTTGAGCTACATGTTTTCTCTGTTTGACTTTCCGCTTGTTTGTTCTCCCGAGCTCTCGGAAGAAGGCAACATGAACATTTTCGCACATAAGTACGTTCAAATTGCCTGCTTTTTTCATTTGCTCAGTTCTCTCTCGTTCTTTCTTTCTCATTCTGTCGTAGATTCGCGGAGCGCAGAGCGCCGTTCTTCAAGCTTCTCTTAGCGGACAAACGACTCTACTTAACAACAAGATTTTGCGTTCTTGCTCTCTCTCTCTCTCTCTCTGCTTGGGCTTTCATTACAGGACATTGTCGTTTGGTTTCTCTCTCCCCAACAGTCCAGAATACTTTTCCTCGAGCGATCTTCGCTTCAGCTACCAATGTCTTTCCAGTTGGCTCGATTCTTACAATTGCTCGCGTTGGACCCAACTTTCCAAAGAAGCCAATATTGCACCGGAGCCTTTGCCAATTATATCAGACTTCTTCTCGACTAATTTATACTTTCATTGTTAACTATCGCTTAAGACAATGTCGTTCGCGCGTGAATCTTTCCGCTAGCGTAAATAAATATTTCATAACTTTTGAATAAGTTGATAATATCGGTGAGTAAAATATTTTGTAATATATTTTCAAATTTGAATTCTTGAACGAATATCAACGTAAAATGAAAAAGAACGAATATCAGTTTGCTTTTTCGAAAAACTCGAGAGGAACGGCTGCCGCTATACGCACGGCTTTAATAAACTTTCATCTAGCTTGTTCTAACAATTTATCACTCTAATAAAGATATCTTGGTGAAAGTTTTTCGCATCTTGTAATGCTCGATGTAATGCTCTTGTAATTTCGTTTACCAATATTATCTCATCGAGTGCCGTAAAATCTAACGTCGGAAATAAAGAGAAATCGAGTGAACGAAAGAAGTTGTTGCATAGCTCCGCGAGAACAGAATCGCGAGGAAGACATCGTCGGCAAATGAACAAAAGGATTGAATTGCCTGAGTTTCGACTAACGTATAATAAGCCAAATCAAAGAGCTGGAAAACGATAGCCTCGCTCGTGGCGGCTGGCCGGGTGCATAGCTGCATGAAATAACTGCAAGAAAGTAAACCATCCGGAGATTCTCTTACTTCAATCTCTCTTTGCGCTAAGCTTCAATTCCGCCATAAAAAAAATAAAGAAAAGTTCGCGAGCAAAGGCTCGAGCGCCAGCGGCAGCTGGGTTGATGGCGAAGAGCAGTAGAGCTTGCGGCCGAAGAGTCGCGCATAAAACCGAAGCAACAGCGATTTATCGTTCGAGGACGCTGAGAGCTGGGGGCAACAAAGGCC